GAAGCCCTTGCATATAGCATTTACGAACCATTTATAAAACAGCAATAATCAAGTTTAGATATAATTTGTGTTCTGTATAGATTGGGATATGGCTGAAATATTGCAAAGTTACTATAAATTTTAACTCGCTCACTCTGTGTAGATAGAACACAGTTTGTTGGTATCCATCCCATACTACTTTCAGACTTGTAAGACTGAAAAACTGCCGACTGATGTGAGACAATAATGATAAAGCCACTGTGGCGCTGAACTCCAAGTCGCACGAGCATACTGTATATGGGCATACAGAATTATTACCCCAGATAACCAAGACTGCCTGTGTGGCGCTAAGAGGTTCAGAATCTTGCCTATGGTGGTACCACATGTGTCATGTGGTCTTCGTTGTGTGCCAAACAAGGTCCCCCATCCAAGGACTCTCATGACCAACGTTGATTAACTTCAACTGATTTGTGACATGGCCACACACCACCAATATTAACACAGTCATCTAAGAAAGAGAGGGGAATTTATTTCATTTGCTGTATATTTACCAAAACATATAATTCATATCACTTAAAAATAATTGTTTATCTATTAATCTGTACATACCTAGTTCGTTCAGGCTGGCATGATGAAACTCATACAAATGTCCGAGGGTTGCCTGGTCCAGACTCGATTATTTACAGACCGCCCCCCATATAGCTGGAATACTGCTGAGTGCGGCTTAAAACTAAACTCACTCACTCACTATTCGATTATCAGCATGGGTGAATCCTACGTCTGGTGTCCCCATGTAATAAAATGGCATTATGAATGATAATCTGTTTTTTTAAATGTATTGTTTGTGGTTTCTCTGGTCTAAGTGTTATTTATTGTCTTGGAGTTTTGGTTTTTGAGTCAAGTTTGTTGTTGGCTTGGTTCTGGTTCTGCCTGGGGTTTTGAAGAGCTCATGAGATTTGGTTTGGGTCCATTTGGTCGAGGATGGTAGCTTTCATTCTGCGATGATGCCTGGTTCTTTCATTAACACGATTCTTTAATGCAATGCGGGGGATGTCTTGGGCAGCTATTGTTGTGCCCTTTGACAATGATTTAAGTGCAGTTTACTGTAACCATGAGGACCCACATACAACATGCAGCTTTGCTATAAATATACACAGAAGATAGTGTCATATCTTTGAAAAAGGATGTGACTCCCAGTACGTTTCAAAAGGTGGATTCACCATACCCTTAAACTCCCAATCTTGATCAGTTTGGAAATTTTGGGGAGCACCGAACTTCTGATCTATGTACATCTGCACTAATGTTTTAACAACGCTTTGTGATGTTTGCCACAGAGCAGCCTGACCCCCTAAAAATCTAGAAAAGACGTCCAATATGGACAATACAAAACGATAAGTGATCCTATCATTGGTTTCTCATTTGTTGTCCATTTGGTGTGTTTCAATATGTTTTAAAGGAAACTTGGGTGCTACTTAACAAAACTTATGGGTTTTTTCTGCGTGTCACATGTTCTATTTGGGGACTGCATATGCTATGGAAATGCTAAACATAATTGTGGATTATAGACGTCGTGCTCGGTCCCCGGAAGTCAAATTAATTTGTACAATAATATCTACTTCATCAGTTTTTGGGACAATTGTACACTAAGAAAGGATTGCTATTTCTTTTTCACCTGAAACCGAGTTGTGAATATCTGTTAGACAAAGATTATATTTCTAATTTTCTTCCATGCTATTGTAAAATAGAGAAACAAATAAACACGAACTAAGGGAGGAGAATATAGAAATGTAAATATACAAACGAGGCTAGAAAAGAAATAGCTGAAGTCACTTGCGTTATAACAGGTTCTTTAGCTGCGAGGCAATGGCGTTTGCGTGGGTTTGTAATGGCAGTCTTAGCGTAGAGGTGTCGATCGCTTATTTCTGGGGTGACAGGAGGTCTGCCGGACAAGAGACATGCCACCAAATCTATGTCTGATTTGGTGTGAAGCACTACACTGACTTCTGGCAGACTCACGTCAATGAGGGAGCACCACAGACTGTCTCTCTGGCACTGGTAGCTGGGATAGTGACGGATCATATGAGTCAAGAGATCATTATATTGCCGTCCACAGTTTGGGCAATCACCACACACAGCTCCTGGACGACAAATCGCACACATGGTGACAACAAAATTTGCAGCAGGCTTCAGTCATGGGTTAGACTTCGCCCTATGCCCTGTGAGTTGAGATCTTAGTCTTTATCCACATAAAATGTTTAAGGTCAGGGTCGTAGGAGATTCGATCTCTCCAGCTGCCCCCTTCATTCTTCTTCACTGCGGTTTTGACGATCTTTTTCCCGTTTGATTGACTTGTGAATGTTCTTGCTTTCAGGAAAGAGTTCAGATAGTTCGTAAAGTCATACATAGTGCATATGTCGGGCACATAACCCACCCTCAACTTGGTGAAGGTACATGTATGTCTCAGTAACGACAGGCGGATTATGAGAAAGGCTGCTTTGGAATTACATTACATTATTGTCCTAAGAAGAACATCTTCATGGTATCAATTGATGACTCGATGGAGTTCCAACTGGCAAGGGCGTTACCGATATCAGTTACCGATTCCTAGGAAACCCTGAGCAATCTTCAGACAGAATCTTTGAGTACGCTCGAGGGCAGTGACTTCTGCTTTAGAACACACCAATATACAACTATAAAAGTAAATTGTTATTAACTTGTCAGTGGGTACACCAAACTCCAATTACCTGCTCGCTAAACTGACTTCTAACTACAACATCGCAATACGTGAAAGACCCCATAACTGAACACAGCCGAATAAGCCAAATCAAAACACAAACCCACCCAGGGTCTTCACACCTAAGTTAAAAAATCCTTAAATAACACAAAACTCCCCCTCCGAAATAAATAAACAAACCCAAACATCGCCAAGAACACAACACTAGCTCACATGCATGAAAACTGGCCAAATTGGTGCCACATTTGTAAACACAGACATATTATTCCTCGCCCATGGTATCTAAGTTACATAGCGCCCACATACAGGAACGCTATGTAATGTATTTGAGCGCTATGTATCTTAGTTATGCCCATGTTGGTGTGATTGGCAACGAACATGCCGACCAAGCAGCCAACGAGGTACTTACACTCCCAGAACTTAACTTAAACAATCAAAACATCTTACCAAAGTGGCAAAGCTAGTATCAAAATTCAAATTCTAAACTGAAAACTCTACTCAACATCCACTCAAAAAATTCTACCATAAATTAAAAATACTGACAGTACAATAGCAAACTTATAAACAGGTCACACATTCGCATCTACACATAGTAAAAATACAAACAGACAAATGCACCAACTGCAATGAAACAGAAATACCCGAACATGTCCTACTACACTGCAGACCTACCATTAACACCAAATGGTGCTCCAGAGTTCACTGGACACTAACGCACACCTAACACTACAAACACCCTTAAGTCCACTAAATAACGGGGCGGTGGGGTGGCCAAATGGTTAAAGCTTTCGCTCGTCACGCCGAAGACCCGGGTTCTATCCCCCACATAGGCACAATGTGTGAAGCCCATTTCAGGTGTCCCCCGCCGTGATATTGCTGAAATATTGCTAAAAGCGCCGTAAAGCCATACTCACTCACCCACTAAATACCGCCCTTCAAAGCCTTAGGTATATTTTGTAACAAAACTGGAATTTGTGATCGCATATAATCCCACATAAGGCTGAATACCAACCGAACCACCCGTGGTTCAGCTCCCCTTTACCACTTCTGGCAAAATCCATATACAAATAGATTATGTAACCCTAACGCCCCCTTCAGGTTGCCATATCTTTCGATCAAATCCACCCACTTTCGATCAAACACTAAATGCCCAAGCGGAAAGCCCCCATATAATCTCCGATTCATCATCAACTCAAACGTCACAAAGAAGTGTTTGGTTTTACGCCGCATTTAGCAACATTCCAACAATATCACGGCGGGAATCGCAAAGAACACATCTATAGTTACTTGTATTATGTCTACCTACATACCAAAGTATAATTTCAAAGTTCATCGTTTCTATAGCAAACCCCTTTTTGAAAATGGAGCAATTATCCTATATTCTCATACTAGCCTCTATCAGAAGTGTTAAGCCCGTGTTGTTCAGTTGACCCCGGCTGTAAAACATATCCACTACCTACCAGATGTGACATCTTCTGTGATTACATTGGTATCTGTCACCTAAAATACTTTGAAGATCTGAAACTGACATTTTCTACATTTCCAGTAACTCGTCTGATGTTAAACTGAGACATTTCTTCACTGACGAAAGTATGCGTTCGAGGTAGGTCACAAAATGCGTTGGTGAGCTCATGGTATGCGGCGGCATCGCGTATCCCATTTTTTGTCCAATATGGCCACTAAATCCCCCTGAAACATGTCCTGTCCAGCCTCGCCCAATTCCTGATAAGAATGAATGAGTGAGGTTAGTTCTACCCCGCACTCAGCAATAATCCAGCTATATGGCTTCGGTCTGTAAATAATCGAGCCTTGACCAGACAATCCTATAATCAACGTCATGAGCATAGATGTAAATTAAAGTTTGAGATTGAGGTTAGAAATGTGTTTGTTTATGGAAAGGGAAGAATTCGCACACGACATTGAAATTAAGATGCACATGCATCATGCATACATTCAGGCATAAATTGCCGGCTTGAATGGCAACCGTTCACTTGTTTCTGAACACAGCAGCTAACCTCAATCTCAGACAATAATTTATTGGGCAAAACAGGCTATCTGACCAGAAAACAAATGGCTATTTTGTTAAACACTGCAACTGAATATTTGTGCTATATGGCGGCGGTCTGTAAATAACCGAGCATGAACCAGAAAATCCGGTCATTGACATCATGACCATCGATCTAAACAATTGGCATACGATGTCACCAAGCTTAGTCGGACACTATATCCCAGCGAGGCCGCGATACGATGCGAGTGTGATACGATTCGTATTCGATCCATAAAGACAGACAGACAGACAGTTTTATTCAGTAAAAGTCCACTGCACCATAATACAGACAAATGCACAAATGGTCACAGATCAAATGAATGGTGCACGTGTATTTATAAATGTGTCCTGCTCTTAATTCTAATTTGTACATAATATAAAAATAGACTAACATTCTTAATTACATCAACATTGTTAGATTGCATAATATTTATAAAGTTGTTTATTGTAGAAGGTTGACTAAAATGTTTCACACTATATTTATCTCGAACATCAGAAAAACATTCACAGATATACGAAATATGCCCCTCATCTTTTGATTTGCATAATAAACAAAATCTTTCATTAGAAGCAATATTTTCATATCTCCCAGCCTCTATTGAAAAGTTAAATTTTCCACATCTGAATTTTAAAAGGGCATATGTGAAATTGAAACAAATATTACAATTTAAGTAATTTTCTACATCTAATGGGGTTTTATACTGACAATAATAAATAGTTTTGTGTGAATTTTGAATGCAAGTATACCAGGATTGCTTTAAATTATCGGTCAGTCTTTGTTTAAAAAGAAACATAAAATACTTAACATTTCCAATATCCTGACTGACCCATGCATTGCCAAAACCATAAGTAAATACAATATTTTTAACATAAGTTGCCCAAGTTACACGTCCAACATCATCTTATCATTTCAGCATTTCACAACAGTGTTTTGGGAGTCTATTTGGGGGTAAGTAGAATAAATTACACCACTATTTGATACCTTTAGTCATATATACAATTTGTAAAGGAAGTCTACCACATTCACCAAGTGCCACATTATTACAAGTAGATCCACCAGCTTTTAAAAAATACTTACAAAATATAATTTGCCCAGACTCTATGAGTTTACAATAGAGTCAAATATTTTAAACAATTTGACACTACCCATTTTTCTCTGGAAAATAATGCCTTATTGGCCTGAGAAACAAGACATGTCTGGGCAAGTTTTGCCGTAAAAACAAGTCCTACATATTATAAAAAGGTACAGATTCAATTTGTTTATCGTCATAGATACAATTTTTCATGATCTTTTTAGAGGCCTACAATTTCTAAAAATCAAGAATCTTAGTCTTTTTAAGATTAACTGACATACCAGTGAATTTGCAAAACTTCTAAAGAACACTAATCTTTTTCTGTAACTGGTTACATGAATCAGGCAGTTCTGTAAAAATCATCAGCAAACATAAGTGAACATACATTATTAAAATCTGATGAAACCGTTACACCTGAACTAACCTCCAGTTCCATTAAAGTACATAACTTGTTAATGAAGATAATAAATAATTGCGGGCTTAAAACACAACCCTGACGGGTACCAATATTACAAGAAAAACATTTAGACAAACCATTTAAAGTTCTAACACAAGCTGATAATATGCATGTGATAAGATTCGTATCCGGAAAATATGAGCGTGATACGATTCGTATTCCGATAATATGAGCGTGATACGATTCGTATCCCGATTATATGGGTGTGATACGATTCGTATCCTGAACATATGAGTGTGATACGACTCGTATTCGATACTGTATTTCTATTTCTATTTCACAAGATAGTATGTGCCTCTTGTCGTTGAATCACACTCCTATATCATGGGTATTACAATGGGTGAACCATGTAACCCTGGGGGGCACTGAGCAGATTCTGAAATAAGAACTGAAACCATAATAAAAACAATATTTTTACTGCATGTGTTTGTAGGCAAACACGTTCCAGCAACGAAGACAAAAACTTTCACTGACGTGTATATACCTGTGTTTAGTACAATAAGTGTGCGTCCTTTTCATGTCACCTTCAAATGTTAGAAAATCACTTCTTCAATTTAAGTAGATATTATGGTGTTAAAAATTCACACTTTACATGAGTCTATTAGACAAAAAGTGTTTGAATATTTTTTATACATGATTGTTTGTTTGTTTGTTGTTTAACGCAGCATTCAGCAATTTTCCAGCAATATGGCGCCGGTCTGTAAATAATCGAGTCTGGGCCAGACAATGCAGTGATCAACATCATGAGCACCGATCTACGCAACTGGCTCTATATACTATATATGAACTATGTATGCATATGTTATACCTAATCGTGAAAAGTTGTTATTTCATGAAACGATCATGTGTTTAATTGTTTATTTCATGACATGGCAGTTTCTCATTTTCATATTGTTGTCATCATATTTATCTATTTATTTAAATCTCTACCTTTGCTTTTCTAGTGTGCAAGGAATAAGACTATGTGTTATTCATCTCTACGTGGATGACGAATCGTGGCAACAAATGTTAACTCACACTCCATGCATGTAAAAGTTGCTGTTAATGTTGTGGCCTGATATCAGTTCCCCAGTCATCTCTGATGTAGATGGTAGAGAAACGTACATCATGACCCACAATGGGGTGTTGTGTACAACATCAGACACGGTGCTAAAAGTGTTCCCATCACAAACATTACTGACATGTATTTTATGTTTGTTACCATCAAGGAGAAAATTCCAGTGCAACTCACTGGCCATGCCAGCTTCATTCTTAAACAGTGGCAGGTCAGTGACAAGCTTCCCGTACCTCACCCAGACACACAGCGTCTGCTTGTGGTTAGGGCATGTTACAACACTTACACTCAACCCAAATAGCTGATTCCATTGGGAGTCCAACGGGGAGGGGGTAAGGGCCGTTTCAAATAGCATTGTATTCTTCTCAACCTTCTGTTTCAGAGTGAAGCGACACTTCACTTGGAACATATCAATCCGGCCAGTCTTCAATGTCAGCGGTTTTGAAGTTATGACGCATCTCGGCGACTGCATTCTACATCCGGTGTCATGGGGCGGGACATCCGGCTTGACGTTAGACACTGCAGCTCCTTCTACAGTCACATCACGATTGGCAAGACTCGTGTCCCACTCCAGATGTGTACCTGTTGAAAACAAACAGACAGTTTATTTTCAGCACTTCAGGCTCAAGGCCCCTGGTACAAAAGTAGTTAACAAATTAATATTTGCCACATGACAGTACATAGTGATAGTTGATGACTGTTTACACATTTCTACAGGGTTTTACAAATACTGCAACAGCATGGATCAGATCTGGATTATCAAAGTTTAAAAGATTTGTCATTAGCTGGTGGTGTTTAAACCTATTCTGCACAATAGGGAGAAATTTATACCTTAACTTAGAACATTTTTCACTTATTAACAAGACATGATATTCGTTCTTTTTTTCTCCTAAAGGACAGTTTGTACAAACAGCGTCCATAATATCACTATGTTGAAAACAGCAACAAATGTGTCACATTTTCTAAATCACAGCTTACAAAGTCGGATTAATGTTGACACCACTTTCGAAAAGAGGTCAAGGTGTGAATTCTTAATATTTTTGGATGCATTGTCCAACTGTCAGATCACACACAAGATTATTATGTGCATCAAAGATGTCTATGTGCATCAAAGATTTCTATGTGCATCAAAGATGTCTGTGCATCAAAGATTTCTATGTGACTAAAAGAAGATGGCTGTGAATACGAAAAATCATATATAATGGATAGAAAGTATGTATGATGAAATAATCAGTTAGCATATGTAATATAGAAGTTGTTACCAAAATTAGACTCATGATCAAGCTTTATGTCGACAGGATACGTTTAATAGAAGCAGAGTACACTTACACATTATAGGCTTATTTTCCACCTTTGATAGACCCATGTCCGTATCCATCACTGAAATGAGAGACTGGCTGAGTGAAGATAACAAATTAACGTTTTTTGTACCATTCATATTGCTGAGGCCTCGTTTGAAAGCTGGATTACATGGTATTCACTATTTTAAAATAACTAATGAGGAATCTGGGACAGAATTGGATCAAGTGGTTAAGGCCCAGGCATTTTCGAGTTCAGGTACTGTGATATGGGATCTGCTAATGTTATTGGGATAAACGGTTTCAATCTAGCTATGTTTATACGTCAACACTATGAATGACATGGGTACTATTCGTCCCAATCAATATATGATTGCTTGAAGAGAAGATTAAAACTACATGACATATTAATAAAAATGACATTTGCCATCGTCATTTTACATATTCCCGTTATATAGATTATATAGATAGAAACATGCCTCCTCCAATTGTGAAGAAAGGATTTGACATACGTTCACAAACGACGTTACATTATTTGCTGAAACCAACCTTTTGGTACCTCAGCTGGCTCCAGAGTGATTGTGTTGTAGGCTGTCTTTTCTGGTACATATTTTGGCTTCTGTGCAGACGTGAATGTGACAGACCTAACCATGCCAGCCATCTTAATAGTGGATTCAAGATGATTCAGGTTGGCTGGGACAAAGGTTGTGCCCCTGCTTTCAAACTCCACTTTCTTTGGTACCTCCGTTAAAATGCCATTCAATGAGGCTGTAGATGAAACAATCAGAAGAAGATCTTCGACGTTATCAGCAATGCTTCTCATCTGTCTGATGTAATCTGTAGAGGATCTCACTTTCGCCAGCAACTTCCTTGTTGACTGGAGGAAGTCCTCTGTTAGCTTCACGTCGGTGCCGGATCTCTCCTCAACCTCCATTAGGAGGGTTGCTTTCCTTTGTTGTAACTCTTCAAACATCTTTTCAAAGCATCGGTTGATGTCCTGTTTGGCTGCCTCTGCTGAGACGTGCATGTTGTCGACTTTGTGCAACAAATCTTGTTCTGTTTGAGTCAGTTCTACAGCCTTCTCGTCAAGTTGATTTAGCATGTTGTCAATTTGTGTTGACTTTTCATTGTGTGCTTTATCCACAGACACAAACGTGTGTCCCATTCCTTCACGATGTTCCTCCACAGTACAGGACACGCATATTATCTGCTCACAAGTATTGCAGAAAAACTCCTGCCGCTGTGGGTGAACACTGCACTCATGGAGCCGTTTCAACGTGTGGATTGGCTGACTTTTAATTTCATCGAATGTTTTAGTTCTGTGATGTCGTGACAATCTGTGTTGGTCATGGGTTATCTTGCAATCTTTGCATAAAAATGCACAGCATTCTTCACAACTCGCTATAGCCTCGTTGTTGTTTGGGCAATCTGTACATGCCACCCGCTCATCAGTTTGTATTTTCTGGTAGTCCAGAATCTTTGATGTGATGGATTCAGTCGGAAGAGAGGTAATTCCATGATGAAGTACGTGCTTGTGATGACTCACAGGGCAGAGCAAGGTTTTGTCTTCTTCATTGAAGATCTGCTGAAGACATGGCTGACATACACACTGTACGCAGCAGGACATACGGCGAGGAAGGCGAGCAGCATCATCAAATTGTTCAGAACATACTGGACATTCAGTCAGATAACTTTGGATGTTTGAAGCTGAGATGGAATCAGACATAGTTCCTGCGAAAAAATGCAAACTGATTTCAATTCTTACAACCACTAGATGAAAGTGAAAGTAATAACGGTGCTTTGCTTTGCATAACAGCGCAGGAATAGACTGACTGACTGACTGAGTATGGTTTTACGCCGTTTTTAGCAATATTCCAGCAATATCACGGCGGGGGACACCAGAAATGGGCTTCACAAATTGTACCCATGTGGGGAATCGAACCCGGGCCTTCGGCGTGACGAGCGAACGCTTTAACCACTTGGCTACCCACCGCCCCCGCAGGAATAGAACCTCATGTATAATTTCGTTATCACTGCACTGTAATCGGCTACTGGTATTTTGTATTATCTTCACTCCATCGAAGCACGCATTCTAATGATACGTTACTGAAAACATGATATCGATTGTATATATAGAGTTGTACCTGAGACTATGGTATCGAATCAATGAAACAAGTATGTTTTCAATATGTGACGAAAATATGGTTTTGCTGAAACGACTATGCTTCACCCGATCTATCTTGCCTGAGATGAACATAAATATAAATATGTCAAACATAGAGGTTTACTGAATATCAATCTTAATTATAAAGGTCATATTTCAAAGTGTCAAACGAATGACAAAAATCCTAATTTTATAGTAATAAAATGATTACACTGAATCTGTGCACACATTGGCTTCCGAACGGTTTATAGGCGTTAAGATCTCTACACCTAATAATATAGCTCGTGGTGAATGTGGGCGGTATCCCCTATATATCCTAGCACATAAAAGGGAATAATAAAGTACAATAATATAAAATAAAATTATTAAGTACGTCTGATTCTCCTCATCCCAAAAACTGTTATCACATGATGTTTATAGCTTTAGATCTAATAAAGTTAATTGGGCGTCGAAGTGTCGAGATTCTGCTGTACTGTTTTGGTTTTGGTTTTGTTTGGAACAGCAATCTGTCAATTCTCCGACCTCGTTTTTATCTGAATTTGTGAGTCGGCTTAAATGTATTCATGAACAGAATTGGTATAGTTCGCTTCAAAATGGCAGCAAATATATGTTGTTTTCTTACTTCCAAATATCATTGTCCAGGGAATTGTATTTAAATGTAATTAACATTAAAAAGTTAGAGTTGCACTCGCTCAGTTTAGATGTTTTTCACATCAGTTACGTATTGAAACTGGAAGGTATTATAATATAGATAGAAATGATAAATTATGTTTACAGTGCGATGAGGATGGATGCCATCTTCTCATCGTGTGTTCCAAATTCAAACAGCTCCGTTTGAACCATTTCCCTAAAACCTATTGTATCAATCCAAGTAAAGCCAAAGTCAAACTCCTAATGTCATCATCAGATTGTAAACTCACTCACTGTATCTATTATGCAATGCATCTAAGATGTTAAAATTATCAATTATACTGTACACACCATGTTTTGCCATGCACAATGCAACCTGTGTAGTTATGGGCCGATGGCCTACACCTCTGTAATAAAAGAATTGAGTTGAATTTTATAGTAACTGGTAACAAATACTAACGTTTTGATCGTTGCGGACCTACCTGTTTGTAATAGTAATCGTTAGTGAAATACCATGGCAGACAGGCACAGACACCACCCAGAAGTCTGACGAGATGACTAGAGATGTGGGCTGCACAGATCAAAGGTTCTAAAACACTAACATGTGATGTGGTGTGGAAGCACAAAGTGCATTGATATCATCTTGATAACTGTGCCCATGAGTACTCATAAAAATAACTAAGGCTAAATTATCTATTATCAATGACACACACCTTACACATGTGTAACGTCTAAATATCAGCGTTTGCTAAGGACATATCACAGACTCTACGTCTGGTCGTTTGCGAATAATGTAGATTGAGTGGTTAATCTCAGTCACTTGTGTTGTTTGTGTCTTCATTTCAATACTTTTGAAGAATAATCGAGCATGTTTTTAATTTCCTTCGAGGAATCATATACTGGCCGAAACGTTGTTAGATCAAGATTATATACTATGGGAATAAGGTAAATGTGTATTATTTGATTTTATGCCAGTTGGTAATGCAGTAACAGTTAACAGTTAATAACGTGATTTGTGGTGTTTTCCTTAATCACTGTGTAACTGTTGACAGGACAGTATCGAAACCTGTATGATTTGACACGAGGCATCGTGACACGCCCTTGTAGCGATCTGGTGTCAAAAGTCACTTCACAAATTCGGTATCGTATGTGTCCACCACTGGTGTTGATGCAGGCTTGACAACGACGACACATAGGCGACACAAAGGGAATGAAGAAAGCTTAGGGAAAATTGTTCCTTGCCTGAACCAACGCTTGCTCCAATTCAGCTAATGTCAATGGCTGATTCTGGGCATGACGTAAACGTCGCTCCATTTCATCCCTATCGTGGTCGACAGGGGACAGGACCGGAGAAACAGGAAAATACCGGAGAGGAGAGTACCAGAATGTTCTGCTGTCTTAGCAAATCTGTCACAAGAGCGACATGTGGGCGGGTATTATCTTGCTAAAGCCGGAAGTCATGCCTCCGTCCTTGAATAAACGGCTGCACATGAGGCCCAATGATTTCATCCCTGTATCGCAGACCTGTCAGATTGCCATTGACAATGGTAAGTTGTGTCACGAGATGTGATGCTTCCCCATACCATAACGCAAACGCCACCAAACAGACTGTATATTGAACGAATATTCCAAATCAGCAGCAGATCTCCAGTGTCCGATTATTACAGCTCCACTCAATAAAATCTTTAACAGTGGAACATTCCCAGAAAGCTGGAGTTAAGGAATAATCAAGAAAGGGGATGATAAAGACCCTAACCATTTTCGAGGCATAACACCCAACAGGTTTTTTTCCAAGACCCACAAATCAGTATTGACATGCAGACTTAACTCTTGGGCAGTAAATCATAATATCATATCTCATGCGCAATTTGCATATAAATCTGGACATTCGACAAACAGATGCTATTTATGTGCAAAAAAACATAGTATCTAAATATTTGAATGAGAAACAAAGATTATACGGTTTCTTCGTTGACTTGTCCAAGGCATGTGACATGATAGACAGAGACTGCCTGTTATATAAGCTAAACCATCTAGGCATAACATATTGGCCATACTAGATATACTCACGAATACCTGTTAAGATGTGAGGATCCTCCGTTTTGTACCCCTTGTGATGAGGGAATCACGGCCAAGTATGTCCTGCTTGACTGTATTGATTTTTCCATCTCAAGGGATAAGTATAGTATGACCAGAAATTATTGAGAATTTTAGGAATATGTTTAATTGGATTTCCAGTATAAACAACCTTGACCAGCTATCAAGTGCTTGGTTTCATTCAAGAGAGACAACTCCGTTAATCCTTTTTCATTAGTTTGTGAAGAGTTATCGCCCTTTGTTTACTTGCCAGCAGACGACATTTTCAGTGATCCTCGGTATGGATGATTTAGAGAAGAGGAAGTTGATTTTAGAGTATTATAACAAGGACATCAGATCAGCTAAAGTGATTTCAAGTAGAACAGGCATCCCTTTGTCCACTGTTTATCGTGTTTTGAAAGATATTGCAAATGGATATGGCATTGAGCACCAGGGAGGCGCAGGTAGGCCCAGAAAATTGACTGTCGGTGACAGGAGGCGGTTTGGTATTCTTGTTTCTAAAAACAAACGATGGAGTTTAGAAAACTTAAGGCTGGATGTGATTGATAGAGGAACTGTGGCTGTCTGTAAGGAGACAATTAGAAGTGAGGTGCATGCAATGGGTTGGCAGAAAAGTCGAGGAATTCCATCACCGATCATGAAACCTGAACAAAAGGAGCGAAGGTTGAACTGGTGCTTACAGTATAGAAATTTTAACTGGGACAATGTGATTTTCTCAGATGAAAGTTCTGTGTGGCTGTTTCCTAATACACTGAAATTCTGGACCAAACAAACTGAAAAACCTTTGTATCAGCGCCCAAAGTACGGTCCGAAATTTAACGTGTGGGGTGGCATATCTGTGTTAGGGGCAACGCCCCTCTGTGTATTTGAAGGGAATGTGAACAGTGAGCGGTACACAGATATTCTCGATTGACATTTACTTCCATCTGCTCACGTGTTCTATGGAAATGTTTGGACAGCAGGACAACGACCCAACACATCGTTCAAAGCATTCACAGGCCTGGTTTCGGACCCAAAATATGACATTATTAGATTGGCCAAGCTATAGCCCTGACCTAAATCCAATAGAAAATGTTTGGGGACTTATGAAGGAAAGTGTCAATAAGAAATATCTGACAAATATTGCTGAAATGAAAGAAGAGGTGGTCCGATATTGGGACAGCATGGACCACGACTTTCTAACTTCTTTGATCAGTAGTATGCCCCGCCGCATTGAAGCCTTCATTGCTGCCCATGGTGACTTGACAAAATACTAACTGTTCACCTGTCTTTGAATCTGGAGTTATGTTCTGCTAATATTCACTTTAAATACGTGAGTAATGAGTGAATTTTGTTTTAAAATTACAATCTTAAATTCTCAATAATTTCTGGTTGTACTGAAATTCTATGTAAAACTGTTAAGGATCTTTTTACTTCTGTTAATTTTAATTTAATTATTGGTTTTAAAAAAAATAGAATTGTTGCATAAATTTTGACATATGATTTGTAAATAGATAAATGTTTTCTTTATGATTGGTAGTTTCGATTATCAGCTGAGATTGTTAGGGGCTGTATCATCAAAGGGGGTTTAAGTACTGTAAAATTATTGTCCCCCTGAGAGGGTACGTAAGTCCGAAAACACAATTTATTATTATTTATTCACCCTTTTTAATCGCAGAATATGTGTGCTTATAATGTATGGCTAGATTTGTCTAAATTGTTAACAGCTGGAAGGTTGGTGTCAATCCAGCCAGGTTCCGTGCAGGAAGCAAATGTACTGTAAGTCCCCATGGTCCCTAGTATGGTGATGTACCTTCAGTTGTTTTCAATATATAGCCTGCTATATATTTGTTGTCCTCTATAGTTAAAATGTTTTAGATTTAATTACTGGTTTTACGTTTCTATCTGTGATAATCTAGTTATTTTACTGTCCTTCGTCGACAGGTTTTTGTTGTGTAATTCCATTTATTATCAACTTATAACTTTTTAAGTCACGTTATGCCGATGTGACCATAAATATTAACTCACTCACTCACTAACTCTAGGCATAACAGGGAAATTATGGTCAGTTATAAAGACAATGTACCAAAACGTTAAATCCAGGGTGAAGCACAATGAATACTTTCTCGGTAACATTATAATTTATATATTATATATTTCTGGTGAATTTAAAACTTGTTTTAGTCACGATATGGCTGAAATATTGCTGATGTAAATCTTAACTCACTCACTCACTCAGTAACATAGGCATCACACAGGGAGAAGCAATGTCGTGATACTATTTTCATTATACATAGAGGACTTGGAACTACTCTTCAAGAAAATATAGACAGCTATCTTCCATTGGAATATATAAACATCTTTTTTAATTCTAATCGCTGGTGACATGGTCCTGCTGTCGAGACACCTGAGGGATTACAACTGACATTATCGTATCCAGTGGGGACATCAAATCAATGAAAACAAGAAAAAGAAATGGTGGGAAGCCCAAATCAAATGAAGAATGGAGATATGGAGACCATGAACTTGAAGTAGTAGATCAGTTCAACTGTCTTAGGAACATTTTTAAATATAAAGGTTTTCTCAGCATGACCAAACAAACCTTAACAGGAAAGGGTTTGAAATGTCCAAATGTGCCTTTGAAAAATATAAGGAAATCATATTTCACCCAAAACCCAGTGTGAATTATTTGATGCATTCGTGGTATCAACCATGAATTATGGAAGCGAGATACGGGGATTCACCAGCTGTACAGATATCTGGAAGGAACTTGAAAACTGGATAATCCAAAATATACAGAAATTTGAAATAACGAAGACGTTGGTTTGGTTTGGAATTTTGGGTAATAAGCCATTACTAAATCATATAATCTTATCTGCTAAAAAATATATATATACTTGCACTTTGAAGAAAATACATGTATTTCCAAAAGTTAATCATTTTTAAAAATTTTTGAAAGACATTCATTTGGTTGAAAATTTCATATCCAGAAGGAACAATAAATCTGATTAATTTTCGGACAAATGGTTTCCTTTATTCTCAATATTTAATTTCTGACGTAATCTTTAATCAAAGGGGAATAATTTTACTGGAGTATATTCTCTCTATGCTATCAGTTGACCTAACATTTTTGTTGAACCCAATGAACTTTGATCATGTATTTATGCATTTATTGCTTTACTTTATATGCTTGTACTCAATTATGGGAACAAATAAAAAGATTTTTAAAAAACAAAAAAAACTGCAGATATGGAGAGAATTCATCTAAAATGTTGCAAACGGTTATTGCAGGTAAACCAGGACACAAGCTCTGTGTGCGTATATCGGAATTTGGGGAGATATCCCCTCACCATAAACACATACGTTCGCATCATCAAATATTGTTAACAACAAATAACTGTGTACTACGTACAATGTATGATACATCTTTAATGCTTTCTTCAAAGGAGAACCTTTCCTGGGCAAACAACGTGAAGATTCTATTGTACAAAAATGGGTTTGGTTCTGTTTGGAAAGACCCCTGGTGTGTTAATCATAATGCATTTCTTGTTACCTTTAAGCAAAGACTGATTGGTATTTTCTTTCAGAAATGGCATGACGATATATGTAATAATGCAAAGCTGTTCCTTTATAAACATATTAAGCTACAATCTGGACATGAAATGTACTTAAATATCATAAATAACCCCATTAGAAAACTTGTCACAACTTTTAGAACATCGTCACATAAATTACAAATTGAAGTTGAAAGATACCATAATTTATCATCCAAAACTGTGTTCCACAGGAGATATTGCTTGTGTGAGATCAAACGATATGTCCTAGGAGATATCGTTTTGACAGTAGATTTTGTACAATGCCCTGACAATGCTATGATGTCATGAACTTGATGATGTCACAATGCTATGAGATCGCTTCACTGCAAGCATAATGTCAGTACCGTGTTCAGAGATGTACATTTTTCATTGAAAACTAATGAAGAGTGATTGTGGATGATAAATAGAATCTCACCCTCGTGTCTTCTGATATCAAATATATCAACACTCGTTAATAAAAGTTGAAATATCCTCGGCAAGCCTCGGATATTTGTAACTTTATCAACTTGTGTTGATATAATTGATATCAGAAGACACTTGGGTGAGATTCTCTTTGTACCAAGGGGAGAAAGAATATGTGTCCATTGTTTATCTTTAAATCTTAATCTTATAGAAGACAAATAGCATTTTATCTTAATGAGTTTGGTTTTACGCCGCTTTTAGCAATATTCTAGCAACATCACTGCGGTATATATTGAAGAACGCACATATTATATATAAATAATATTATCAAAACCCTAGTGTTTATAAACTTGTAAAATCATTTTCATGTTGTAATAATAAAACTTTTGTAAAAATAGGTAGTACTTTAATACATTGTAATCAAATGAAAAGTTCTCACGCTGCTTAACATGCCCAGGTACATATCTGTATTCAATGTCAAGACGAGGAAGCAGCTGGTTCAAGTCTTAATAAAACGTCTATGTTCCTGATGTTGGTGATTCCTGTCGGTGAAGATGGACTAAAACTGGTCCTGGTACTCATGAGACGTAAGCCAGAATGGTCCGAGTGGCAGTCTGGAATCGATTCCTTACATGGGTCAGCCGAATGTGGTTATCTTGCTGATATGACGTCACGGGTGGACGGCCGGTCCGAGGCAAATCTCTCTTGCTCCCATTATGTTGAAAAAACGTTCATGATCGTGTTTCGATGGACACCAAAATTTCTTGCCATTCCAGTCTCCAGCATATCCACGGCGCGGAGACGCTGATTTTCTGTAAGCCTTGGCATGAAGTACGCGCAGTTTAGGTTGGTAGGGGCTAGAAAATAATCAACCGTTTTGCAATTTTCAATCAGGTGTGTGAACTTCAGGTGTCAAATAGGTTGCAAAAAGTGAGTAAGTTAATTGTGCACAAAGTTCACGTGCCACGCGCGATACGTGACATCAAATTGCATGCAAAGGTCTTTGCTACATGTTTCATTAGGGTTATTTTTACTTTTAACTTTTCAAATAATTTATATTTTATGCTATTTTATGTTTACTGTTTCCGTTAGTATACTTTCAAGGTGTCAGTCGTCAGTACTAAGGAATTGACCTGTATTATAAATTATAGGTACGTAATCTGTGTGACAAATTGTTTGTTTTTAAAATTGGTGCTATGAATTTTTGGTGCACAATGCACAAAAACACAATGTGTCGATTAGGAGTCAATGAGTTGTCGTTTTACGCCGCTTTAAGCAATATTCCAGTAATATCACGACAGGGGACACCAGAAAAGGGCTTCACATATTGTACCCATGTGGGGAATCGAACCCGAACCTTCAGCGTGACGAGCAAACACTCTAACCACAAGGCTACTCCACCGACCCTACAAGGTGAAGGTATCTGTGATGCTGTGGCCTGTGATGAGTTCTCCAATTACATCTGCTGTTGTGGGAAGTCCAAGACACGTCATGACCCAAATTGGTCTGTCGAATTCTACATCTCTAACAGTGGTGTACACACATTTATCAACAGCATCAATAACAAACATTCTATCATCAGCTCCATCAAGCAGAAAATCCAACTGCAGGTCATACGACCGTCCAACTCTGATCGGAGTGATTGGGATATCAGTGAGGAAGTATCTATTGTAGTCAACCCGGAGACACAGTTTCTCTTTGTGGTTTGAACATGTAGAAACATTTACACTCAGTCCGATCAGTTGACTCCGGGAAGCTTCTACGGGGAAGGGTGTCAGGGCTATCTCTTGTACGAGTTTATCACTTCCTACAAACTTCTTCATAGAGAACGAAAACTTTACTCGGAACATGCAACGCTGACCGCGACGGACCACCAAAGGTCTGGACGCCAGACATAATCCACAATTTAGAATCCGACATCCAGAATTTGGTGAAAGGACGGCTGGGGTGATGTTTGTGATGACACATTCAGATACGTCAAGACACTTGTCAGCAGTGCTTGAGTCCCATTCCAGAGTCGGGTCTGGTGGAACAAAATATACGTCAAAAATTACCATCACATCTTGTTGATGTATACCCCGCCGTTATGTCCCTGTAATATAGTGAGTGAGTGAGTGAGTTTAGTTTTACGCCGCACTCAGCAATATTCCAGCTATCTGGTGGCGGTCGGTAAATAATCGAGTCTGGACCAGACAATACAGTGATCAACAGCATGAGCATCGATCTGCGCAATTGGGAACCGATGACATGTGTCAACCAAGTCAGCGAGCCTGACCACCCGATCCCGTTAGTCGCCTCTTACGACAAGCATGGGTTACTGAAGATCAATATTCTAACCCGGACCTTCACGGGTCTGTAATGTAGTAACAGCAGCGTATAGCAATACTCACTAACTCACTCTTGCTGGAGAATACTTAACGTTTGGCACTCATAATATTACTATATCAACGATGTAGATCAGAAATATCCTGTTACCACTGACATATATAGGAACTGCAGAAAACATTATGAAATAACATGACAATAACAATAGCAATTATGTTACATATCACCAATGATGGCCTGGATGGAACATTGGCAACACAAAGACCACCATGCATGTAACTGGTAGATTTTAACATCTCGATATCTGGAAATATCTCAAACACAACTGACAAAAGCTAAACCAATAATGATATTTTGTTGCATCCCTGAGTTAAGGACACATATCTTACATGTTATCTCCTCGTCAGACACCATCCGGTCCATCTCCGTCACTGAAATAAGACATTAATCAGTATGTATTCCCCATGTATATGTACTAGTGGTGTTCCGATTAATTGAAATAATCGAAGATTGGTCGCAGTGGCCAAACGACCAAGCAATCGATCACATTTTCTCATAATCGAAGACAAACGATTTTGGAACCGCTGTAATAGAGTTTGAAATACTTGATGAAGGAACATATCTAGGACGTTGTCAAGGCCGGAAAAAAGTGTTTAATTCTTAGAAAACTCATCTCACTTTCTGAAAAGTCATGACTGAATATTTCTTGAAGAATCTTGGAAGTTTCACATTGGCCTCGTGTCTTTGAAACATGAGGATTTTAAAGATGTCTTTGCGAGGATTAAAAAAAAAAATAAAACATTTGAGATGACCTCCGACTCCAATTGCTACACAGTACTATACATTATGACAAGGCCGGACACTTCGGTATACCCCACCCGCCTGCTTTGACGATCGCTACGCTACCATCACATGCAATCGATTAAAACTTAATGTAAACATAATCATGGATGATTGGCCTATCGAGCACCTATCATGAAACCTACCAATTCTTTATTGTTATTTCTGCAAGTCGATTGAAACCCGATTTTGACTCTCAACTAAACGATCTTGACACAAATGGATGACGATATCTCTGCACAAAACGGGGTGTGTGGTCGAAGCAAGCCCTCTGATTGGTCAACGCTTGCAAATCTGCAATTCTTTATAAATTCGCGGTTTTTTTCTTTCATCGACTGCTTAATGTAAGAATATTTTTCGAGCAATGGCTTCTCAAAAGAAAGCATCAGTTGTAAATGTCTCCTAAACAAGGATCAACCAACCAGAGGGCTTGCTTTGAGCACACACCCGTTTTGTGCGGACACATCGTCATCCATTTGTGTCAAGATCGTTTAGTTGAGGGTCAAAATCGGGTTTCAATCGACTTGCAGAAATAACAATAAAGAATTGGTAGGTGTCATGAGTGGAGCTCGATAGGCCAATCATCCATGACTATGTTCACATTAAATTTTAATCGATTGCATTCGATGGTAGCGTAGCGATCGGCAAAGCAAGCGGGTAGGGTATGCCGAAGTGTCCGGCCTTGTCATAATGTATTGTACTGTGTAGCATTTCGAGTCTGGGGTCATCTAACAAAAATAATTAAAATCTTTAATCCTCGCAAAGACACGAGGGCCTGTGGGATCGGGTAGTATATCTCTGGTGCCATAAGTTTGTCTGACATGAGCATCGATATGGATCAATGAAGCCCGCGAGTCTGACCATCCGGCGCAACCTTCTGTTTCTTCACGTGTTAAGTTGACGGACAGTGATAAAATACTGTATTTTTATAATTCCTACCTGAAGGCATTTCTGCTGGTTCCAGAATGATGGCGTTGTATGTTGCAGAATCGGGCACGCACTCCGGTCTCTCTGTTGGGGTGAACGTGACTGTTCTGACCATTCCTGTCACCTTGATAACACCACGAAGCTGTTTTACATTGGCATGGACAAAACTGATTCCAGTCCTGTCAAAGGGTATTTCATGTGGTGATTCTTTCAGCATGGAGTCAAAAGAAGCCTCAACTGATCCCTTTCCTTGTAGATTTTCTATCTTGTCAGCTTTGCTCAGCATATTCCTCATGTATTCAATAGAAGATTTCAGCTTATTTGAGCAGAACTCGTGTTGAATCCAGTGCCCCGTCTGCCTGACTCAGATTCTTAGCTGATTTGTCGTCAATATTTGACAAGACTATTCTTCGCCTTTGCTGCAGACACTCCATCAGGTTGTCGAAGGTTTCGTTGATATCATCTCTTGCTACTCTCTTTGACATTGTAATGTTCTCTATCTTCTGTTGAATATCTGCTTCCATTGCGGTCAGTCGTTTCGTCTTCTCCTCCATCTTGAGTAAAACGTCATTTATTGATTTCACCCTTGTTTCGCGTTCTTCATCCACGGATACAACGTTGTGGCCTCTCTCTTCCTTGTGTTCTACTACAGTGCAGGACACACAGACGACCTTGTCACAGGTGCGGCAGTAGAACTGAAGAGGCTGTTGATGTTCTCTGCACCGATGTAGACGACGGTTGCTCTGCGCAGGTCGCCCTTTCATTTGATCAAAATTATATATAATATGGGATTTTGATAACGTATTCCTTTTATGCGCACTTAAGCAAAGGGAACACAAAAATGTTCTACAGTGATCACACCGGGCTACGGCTGTTTCCTTGTCAGGACAGTCTGTACATGGAAGATGAAGACCTTTCTGGATCTTGAGGTAGTCCAGAGTCTTCAGGATGACAGTGTCTTTGGGCAGAGAGGGCACTCCGTCAGTCAGGTCAACTTGGTGTTGGCACACAGGACAAGGTATGGTTTTAGTGCCTCCACTGTAAGCTTCTAGACACGGCTGACAGATGGACTGTTTACAGCATGGCATACGACAAGGGATTCGTGTAGAGTCATCAAAGTGTTCTATACAGATTAGACACTCTGTTAGACGATACTTGGTCGTAGCCACTGAGACAAGATCCGACATGTTTGTCTGGCAAAAGACATAATGATCATGATTATGCGAAATGAAGTGAATTTCCTTTGACAAAAAGCGTTGGGTGCAATAAAGTGTTATATGATCAGCTTCTAGAATCAGACACAGAGAAGCTCCTTAATCCAAGAAGACATCAGGACACTGAGACATCTGTGGTTGGGTATAGACTCTGAATATATTCACTCAGGTTAGAGTACATAATGGTCAATCAACGTCATCTTCTGGGCCATTTTGAAATTCATGGTAAAACAATGTCAGCTGCTGCAGCTAAAGGAGAACCTAACAAATCTGTGACTCCACTTCTAATCCCACACAGTGAATATTAACCTGTTATTAGATCAGTGACCGAATGCAGAAGAATTTAGACACCCATGTGGGTTGAAGTAGCTTACACGTAGGCATATTGTATACATGCTTTGATTATACCAGAAAGACATTCAGGATTCAACTCCTCATATTTCTCAATCATATCATATCATAACATAACCCATATCTCATCCCACATTACACATCCGCCCGCTGGAGTAACCGCCGTTAATTAATGGGAGGCAGCCAAAACCATTGTGACACTTTGTGTTTGTTTGAGTCTGTTCTTTCATGACATTCCCGTCCAAACAGTGACTATATACGGACATAGTTGAGTTAAATGAGACTTTTTTAATAATGGAAAAGTCCCAAAGAGCAGAGATCCTGGATGTTGAACCTGATCACGTCCACACTAAATCGTTTCACAATTTTATTCTCCATACTTGCCAAAACTTGTAAAATGCCTCAGCTTCGTCCTAGATATACACTAATTTTCAATATGTTGTCATAGCAACAATAACTATCAAGGCACTCTTTCCAGATGCAGAACGGTATATTCTGACTAGATCGCTGATTGTCAAGGGCAACTCCATATCTGTGTAAACAGTTCAGTAAACTACGATTAATTTAAATGGAACACTAATGTATTCGTTGTAACCGTAGTTCGAGAACGTATTTTAGCTAAAGTATACAACCAGAAATCGGGCCCCAAAACAGTTCCTTATATTCCGTGAGCTCATTGTAAACATTAAATGCATTTAAATGCATTTACTTGAACTTCCTGACCAGAGGATATTGTTTTTATCTCATGGCTTTATCCTGCCGTGGACGCTACCCATTATATGATAAGTGCATTTATTACCCACGTGGTCAACGTATGGGTAGTTGCATACTAATCTCGTACGTCACACGAGTGTCGTATCGCGTTGACCTGTGTCGTAACGACGTGACCTGATATTCTAACGATTTGATTGGATAACCGATGACCTCTCAATTAGGTCACATTCTGACGTAACTATGTTTTCATTCATAACAAACACGTGAATTTATTCATTCTACAACTTAAATGCATTGTGGGAATGTAAACATCGCGAACGTTGCCGTGTCGCTGTTTAATATTGAGTCGAACTGAGACATTATATCCGTCGAAAAACATAAACGCAATGTTTCCACCAGTGATGTTAGCCGAATGAAGCAACAGCAAACCAAGAAACGGGGTGCTACGGAGCAGTTTACTGTAGGAGGCTGTACGAGGCGATGACAACTGACATGCATCGTGACGTCGGTTACCAAGGCAATGACGTCATTACAGTGTGACGTCATGCAAATATTGTACTACAGTACAAAACTCTTCCGCAACCTCTTTATGAAACCGGTTTCGGTTTGAAACAAAAATATTAACAAAAATACGCTATTTTGTCAATTTAATGCATGTAAGACGTGGGTAGTTAATAAAATACCACACTCGGTCTCATTACATACGAATTATACGAAACTCGTGACCTTCCTATGATATTTGACCTCGCTTTCGCTCGGTCAGATACCATAGGAAGGACACTCGTTTCGTATAATTCGTATGTAATGAGACCTCGTGTAGTTTTCTCTATATACGAGTCCCGATGCAGTAAATTATTGTAATGTACTGTAACGTGTTTCGAAAAAGAAATACCCCATGTCTAGTATAGAACCCGTGAAGATTCGGGTAAGAATGGGTCTTCAGCTGAACTCACCCACTCACTCCCCTGATCCCGAGAAAGGTTGTCTAGATTTAGTTGCTACAATCGCGTAAGAAAATCTGGCATAACAGGCAACTAAGACCAGGTATAATGTTTTAGGCATAGGGCGTACATTAAATCTCTCTCTTGATTGTCCACTGCGCCTTTTTGAAAACATCGATGTACCAAAACCTTTGTACAGTTCGGAGTTTTGGGGCTTTGAAACTTCATCTAGCATTGAAAACGTGCATCTGCACTTCCTGGAGTCTTAAACCTCACTGGAGCGGTGGGGTAGCCTAGTGGCGCACGCGTTCGCTCGTCACGCCGAAGACCTGGGTTCGATTCCCCACATGGGTACAATGCGTGAAGCCCAGCCCCGGTATCCCCCGCCCTGATGTTGCTGGAATAGTGCAAAAAGCGTCGTGAAACAATACTTATTGACTCACTTTAATCTCACTCAGAAAGAATACCCCAGCTTCCATGGTTTATCATGAACCTGATAAAGTCTATATAACAAATCCTTTTCTTAACGGGAAAAGTATGTTTTGGGGCAAAATGCATTATAAAGATGCAAACATAATTGGATAACATTTTTAAAAACACATTTTCAATGATTTGGACTTTGGCAATCATACAATTTACCAAGTCACAACCTTCTATGCTTAAAAGCACACGCAATGATACAAACTTACAAATTTGGAAAGGAACCATCTTTAAAACTGATACCTTCAGATTTGAAAATTACGTACCTTTGCCAGAAAACCGGATCGGTGATTTGTTTGATCGTATTTCAGAAGCTGCGTTTATCTTAAAATCATTTGTTTGAATGTCTGGTCCACAGCTGATTATCAAGAGGCACGGGCGGTGGGGTAGCCCAATGGTTAAAGCGTTCACTCGTCACACCGAAGGCCCGGGTTCGATTCCCCACATGGGTACAATGTGTGAAGTCCATTTCTTTCCCCTGATTTTGCTGAAGTATTGCTAAAAGCGAGGAAAAACCCAACTAACTCACTCACTCACTATTAAGAGGTAGAACAGAACAAAACTTTGATATCTCGGCATGTGAGATACAAATGCGCATTACAGAAAATAATTTCCACGTGACGGCGGGGAGGGTTTGCTGGAGGATTTAACATCATAATACGCGAATAATTACTTCATTTTCATAAGACCAAGTTTAGTTCACTGGAAGAGAGCTTTAAATTTGACCATGTTAGGTCAAGAAGAGAAAAACCTTCGCAGGTACTTCATACGTTCAGCAATAAAGAATGGTGAAATAAAAATAGTACAATGGTATTCGTCACCAATATCAGCAGGTCACCAAAATCAGTGCACCGCGAATCAACAAGTCGCATAGTTACAATAGGGAAGTTATTGCAATATAACTGTACCCACCTTCTGTGCTATTAAAGTCACTAGAAGCTGTTTCTGTTGTAATCTTACATGGGCGTATAGTGAACTTCGACCCAACGTCATGCATGCACTTTGCACATGCGCACTGCCTATTTTGGGGCATCATGGGTACGTACAAAGTATGGACAGGCGTGATAAAACATGAAGTAGATTGCACTACTTAGTAGGCTTGCTGTAGTCGATAAATATGGCGATAGCACTGAGTATTCACTCACACGTATTACTGTTCCTTGTCCCGTTTCACAAAACTCACTCAGGACTACGACTCTCGTAAGTATACATTAAAGCATAGGAGTTAGGATAGTCACAGAGCTACGACAGCTTTGACAAGCGTGACCCTGAACATACTCGAAAAATAAACAGGAAAACATGAGTACATTGTACTTTACAATGTCATCAGGGTGTCGATGAACTGCGGCTTGTGTAGGATCATGCCTGTAGGTGCTTCACTCGCAGTTGTATAGACATATACAGCGTGTTCAGTTTGACCTGATAAAGTGTATACTAATGTATTGCGTGACCGTGTTACAACTGGTTGGGTCTATTATTGTGCATCATTGTGAGTTGATTGTCAACATGACCAAACAGCCGAGACAAGGTCGCCGCTTGACATCTCAGTGGCGAGAAATCGTCAGCAATGTCCTAACTTTCTTTTTGAAAAAAGCTACAGATGGTTTAATGTTTCCGATTAATGCTTTTAGACATTATTAAAATTCTCTGCTCCCCTATTTAATGAAGTTAACTCGACCTGCCGTTTGTGCCATTTGACCTCCCAGGTCATGCATATGTAGAGTAGCTCAGGTCAAGCTGAATACCCTGTACGTAATACTATCATACCGTACAGACGGTTTATAACGAGCACTCCGGGATCGACTAACGCGAGTCATCGGGTGGTCAGGATCCCTGACTTAGTTTTTACATGTTATCATATCCAAGTTGCGTAGATCGGTGCTCATGATGTTGATCACTGGATTGTCTGGTCCAGACTGGATTATTTACAGACAGTCGCCATATACCTGAAAAACTGCTTAGTGCGGCGTAAAACAACAAAACAAAGCAAAACAAATCATACATTTATGAAAGAGCAATAATAATTGAACTGCAGTATAAAGTTGACATGAAACATTTACTGGGATGAGTATGCGGCAATGTTTAAATCAAAATGATTACAATCGTCCAAGCTTGGGCGTCCAGTGTGATTACTTGTCCAACTCAGAATGTTCAAAATGTTTCGTCGAAAGTCTACGGTAATAATACGTAGTGCCTCCACACTGAATTATACTGATGCACTTTGAAAACGCATACGCACAGATGTTTTTTAAGAATATGTTTTTGTTTTAAAAAAGATAACAAACGTGAATGAAGTTTCTAACGTTTGAAATGCATAATAAAGACGTGTTTTAGACCTATTGTCCAAGTTCAAATCCATTGATATTTTTTTAAGCACACAAAATCGCTAAAACAAACCTTCCCCTGTTCCTGACCAAGCAATGTGATCGTGAAAATGAAAATGCACGTGCATTGCCCGAGGTCTCATGCATTTAAGGAAAGGGCATGAATGTGACAGAAGCGATTTGAAACAATGCCACGACTGAGTTTACCGGAACGGGAACGTGCACTGGGACTACTCGAAGCAGGGACTTCACAGCCGTTGCCAGACGTTTTAGTGTCAACCAATCAACCATAAGACGTCTTGTGAGTAGACATCATCAAACAGGAAGCGTTGCAGCCCGCCGTCGATTTGCGCAGCAGTATGGACGTCGACCACAGTTTGTCTTCCGTTTACCGGCGACATGGTGAACGTGACGCCAATACATGTGTCAGTCAGCGAGATCGATTCGGTGGTGGCAGTGTGATGGTTTTGGGGGAAATAAACGTACGTTATCTCACTTATTCAGGGCAATCTCACAGCACAGCGCTATTTGGATGAAATTCTAAGGCCTGAAGTCGTTCCTTTGCTGCGCTGTCGCCAATGACGTCAACGTCAGTTGATATTCCAGCATGACAACGCACGCACTCATGCCGCAAGAGTGACACAAGCCTTCCTTCAGCAAGCCGGAATCATTGTGATAGACTGACCCGCTTATTCAGCAAACCCTACTGAACGCTTGTGGGACGAACTTTGGAGACGAGTTTACAGACGTCAGCCACCACCAGCCAACGTTGCAGATTTGACCTTGGCCTTGCAACAGGAATGGAGCATTTATCACTCGTCTCTGTGTCCCAACGTCTCCATGCCTGTGCCAGAGCTGATGGAGGCTACACGAGATACTTTGATAACGGGGTGCTTGAGCTTGAAAGATGATGGGCATGTACTGACGACAACGTTCCATTTTTTTTCTTCTGAAGACTGAATGCTTAATCCATGTGCTTTTCATAAATAATAACAATGGATTTCATCCCGTGTCTTGTTTTATTGTGTTTTTTATATCAAACTGGGCTATGCGTTTTCAAAGTGTCTCAGTATACGTGTTATATATTTTTTGGTGGTGGTGGGGGAGGGGAGGGAAGAGAGGTATTTTCAGCCGTAACCAGACACTGCAGATTGTAGTTGGCAAATGTCCCTTTGACTTTGTGGCCTGATATCAGCTCTCCTCTCACTTCTGCTGTTGTGGGATCACAAACATACATCATGACCCACATAGGTTTGTCAAACTCTACGTCTGTAACAGTGCTATACACTGTGTTATCAGCAGCATTGATAACTAAGATCTTGTCATTAGCTCCATCAAGTAGAAACAACAGCTGAAGGTCATAAGACTCTCCGACTCTGTTCAGAGTGACTGGAAGGTGGTTTAAACGTTTCTTGTTATAATTTACCTGGAGACACAGTTTCTGTTTGTGCTTGATGCATGTTAAAACAAACACACTCAGTCCAATGTTTTGATTCCGAACAGCATCTTCAGGGGAAGGGGTCAGGGCTATCTCCTGTATAAGCTTAAGCCCATCTGTCAATTGTTTTATAGAAAACCCCAAGTTTACTCCATACAAGCAACGTTGACCACGGCTGACCATCAATGGTCTGGACGCCAGACACGATCTGGCATTCCGTATCCGACATTCTGTAAGAGGTAACTGGGCACTTGGCGGGGTGTTTGTGATGACACTTTCAGATACCCCAATGATGCTTTTGGCAGTGCTTGGGTCCCATTCCAGACTCGGACCTGTGTGCAGAAAATGTTCACAGTAACACATCCTGTTTTACTTAAAGTCTAGAAGACCATTAATGTCTTACGCGCACAATAATACAGTACAACCAGAAATTATTGAGAATTTAAAGATTGTAAAATCTTTTGACACTCATTACTCACGTATTAAATAACTTCAGATTCAAAGACAGGTGAACAGTTAGTATTTTGTCAAGTCAACATGGGCAGCAATGCAGGCTTCAATGCGGCGGCATACTACTGATCAAAGAAGTTAGAAAGTCGTGGTCCATGCTGTCCCAATATCGGACCACCTCTTCTTTCATTTCAGCAATATTTGTCAGATTTTTCTTATTGACACTTTCCTTCATAAGTTCCCAAACATTTTCTATTGGAGTTAGGTCAGGGCTATAGCTTGGCCAATCTAATAATGTCATATTTTGGGTCCGAAACCAGGCCTGTGAATGCTTTGAACGATGTTTTGGGTCGTTGTCCTGCTGGAAAATCCAAAAAACCTTCCATAGAACACGTGAGCAGATGGCAGTAAATGTCCTTCGAGAATATCTGTGTACCGCTTACTGTTCATATTCCCTTCAAATACACAGAGCGGCGTTGCCCCTAACACAGATATACCACCCCACACGTTAAATTTCGGACTGTACTTTGGGCGCTGATACAAAGGTTTTTCAGTTTGTTTGGTCCAGAATTTCAGTGTATTAGGAAACAGTCACACAAAACTTTCATCTGAGAAAATCACGTTGTCCCAGTTAAAATTGCTATGCTGTAAGCACCAGTTCAACCTTCGCTCCTTTTGTTCAGGTTTCATGATCGGTGATGGAATTCCTCGACTTTTCTGCCAACCCACTGCATGCAGTTCAGTTCTAAGTGTCTCCTTACATACATCCACAGTTCCTCTATCAATCACATCCAGCCTTACGTTTTCTAAACTCCTTCGTTTGTTTTTAGAAACAAGAATACCAAGCCGCCTCCTGTCACCTACAGTCAATTTTCTGGGCCTACCTGCGCCTCCCTGGTGCTCAATACCATATCCATTTGCAATATTTTGTCAAAACACGATATACAGTGGACAAAGGGATGCCTGTTCTACTTGAAATCACTTTAGCTGATCTGATGTCCTTGTTATAATACTCTAAAATCAACTTCGTCTCTAAATCATCCATACTGAGGATCACTGAAAATGTCGTCTGCTAGCAAGTAAACAAAGGGGGATAACTCTTCACACATTAATGAAAAGGATTAACGGAGTTGTCTCTCTTGAATGAAACCAAGCACTTGATAGCTGGTCAAGGTTGTTTATACTAGAAATCCAATTAAACATATTCCTAAAATTCTCAATAATTTCTGGTCATACTATAAATGTACCAAATACAGAAAGATATCTTCTCGACATTAATGTTAAGAAATTCCGAACAGCACTAGCCCGGTTTCAGATGTAGTTCCCATGATCTTCTAATAGAAATAGGTAGGCATTTAGGGATACCACGGAAAAAATGATTGTGTAAATATTGTACTTATCAGGAGGTAGAAGATGAATATCATTTCTTGCTTGTTCGTGCATTGTATGCAAATATCAGAAAAGACTACATGAAAAAATATTTCTACTTGAACCCCCCGAATAAACAAATTCTATACCATCATGTCATCCCAAAATCAAACAGCCACAAAATACCCTGCAATGTATATATACCATGCAGCGAATTTGAGATCCTCTGCATTACAGATGTGATATTATTTACTATATATTCATTTTTATAACACCCTCTGCTACTGTATGTGAGTGAGTGAGTTTAGTTTTACGCTACACTCAGCAATATTCCAGCTTTATGGCAGCGGTCTGTAAATAATCGAGTCTGGACCAGACAATCCAGTGATCAACAGCATGAGCATCCATCTGCGCAATTGGGAACCGATGACATGTGTCAACCAAGTCAGCGAAACTGACCACCCGATCCCGTTAGTCGCCTCTTACGACTAGCATAGTCGCCTTTTTATGGCAAGCACATGGGTTGCTGAAGACCTATTCTACCCCGGATCTTCATGGGTCGCTACTGTATGTAAACTGTACTATAGGTCTACGGCCTCTTCGGTACAGTAATATAAAGATTGATTGATTGATAGAAAGGAAAGCGTGCTTGTTTGTTTGATGCTTAACGCCGCACTCAACAATATACCAGCTATATGGCGGCGGTCTGTAGATAATCGCGTCTGGATCAGACAATCCAGTGATCAACATTATGAGCGTCGATCTATTCAATTAGGATACGATGACATGTGTCACCCAAGTCAGTGAGTCTGACCATCCGATCCCGTTAATCGCCTCTTATGACGACCATGGGTTACTGAAGATCAATTCTAACCCGGAAATACTCATTGCCAAGCAGACACTGCTAACACAAAGACAATCAAATGTCCTCTACTATAAGATAAATTTGTAACAGGTTCAGCTTCAAGCTCAGATCAGAAGTTGTCGAAAGTGGTAGCAACGTCTCGAAATCAACTGACAAATGCAACACCGAAATATGATATTTTCTGATATCATGAAGTTAATGATCGTACTTGTTATCTCGGTGTCAGGCATCCTCCAGTCCATCTCTGTCACTGAAACAAGACATTAATCCTTCTGTGTATTTAATGAACATGTACTGACATTATCGTAATCCTTTTCCCGTTACAACACTGTTATCGGATGAAAAAGATGTATGAATGACAAGTGTTTATTGTACAATGGCGACGTTTCGGTACAGATGCTTATACCATTTTCAAGTGCGGATTGCCACGTCTCCACGTAGACAGCGTATGAACTGTTTGAGAGGCATTCTAGAGGTGTGCAACATTCCCTCGATGAGGTTGTATCCTTGGGGTACCATAAGTTAATTTGTTTCTTTAATTGTTTTACGCCCTACACTGTAATACTCCATTTCTAAGCCGGGGTTCCGTAACTACTTCCGTAACTTGTATTTCTGTTCATGACATGACGAATATACATTAGATATTATCTTTTGGTTGTGTCTGTATCAGGAGATAGGTGAAAAAATCTAAAGCAAAGACAAAAATATATACTTACTAAGCCCTGGTATGAGTGAGTTTAGTTTTATGCCGCACACTACGCCCTGGTACAATAGCATGGAAAATACCCAAGCCACTTGTTTGGGGTTTGATTTGGTTAGCCTTTTTAACGTCGCACTCAGCGATATTGTGCACTCAGCGGTCTGTAAATAATCGAGTCTGGACCAGACAATCCAATGATCAACAGCATCTACACAACTGGGATACGATGACATGTGTCAACCACGTCAGCGAGCCTGACCACCCACTCCCTTAGTCGCCACTTACGACAAACATGGGTTACTGAAGATCAATTCTAACACAGATCTTCACGGGTGTAGTCCTGGTATAAAACAATACCATTATGCCATATTAATCTTTCAGATGGGCAAAAAGATTAAGTAACTAATGTAACGTACTTCTTTTAATGCTACTTAAAGGTCACATGCAACGTAAAACACAACTTTGCTGATTCTGATACCTTTCGGTGTGGACTTACAGATACAAATCATCAAAAATGCAAATTCAACTTATAAAGTTGAAAAATACGTGATGAAAAAATCCCCTCGAAATCGGAATTCAAACGATTCACAAAATTCACCCCAGCTTGGGGTGAAAAGTGGTTCAACAGCTGTGCTGCGCTGCGCTGGGCTGCACTCAGAGCGCATGTGCAGTGAATAGGTTCGCGCAGCTTGGAAGCCGGGAGTCCAGATTATAAGGTCGTGAGCAGGAGTAGCAAATAATCTACTCGTTACATAAAAGAACCTTGTTAGGATCTAGATCTACTCAGCTATGTGTCAACCAGTGACACGTTCGACATTTCAAGACAGAAAGCCTTCGCTGGCGGTGAGTACTCGGTGAAGGCTTTGATGTGAGCTATTTTTCTAATGTTTTGTTGATATTTCACAGGCGCGAGCTTTTTATATGTTATTACAGTAGATTACCGATTTAACTGTTTATATAATTTCATTTGTCTATTTCACCACACGTTCTTCTTACCGAGTCACTTTCTCAGTTCGATACTTAAAAGCAATGTATTTATTTAGCATAGACAGAATTTCTAACTGTGATATAGATATGTCTTTGTCACAGACAAAACTCAATGTCTGTGTTATTGACACCTATGTGTCTACCTGCCTGTCTGCTAATGATAATATGCAATACACAACGTCGATCACTGACCACATGCAATTTGAACTTAACACCTATCAGGCTATACACCATAAACAAAACGCATTGATTTATGGCTCGTGCACCCGAGTTCGGTCTCTGTCACATTATGTAATTACACAGACAGGCAGGTGTGATACTTGTACACATGACATGTTATGATGTCTGTTGACTGCAAAATGTTCTACACAAAAATGAGCAGGTATTTACAAAACCCAACATATAAACACACACACAATGAGCCGCGAGGGCATCGGCAATGAACCAGCCAATGAAAGACTTCGTTACACTTGAGTGCACACCCACCCGCTCTGACTGGGTTCGGTATCCCGGGTGCTTCGTTTCGAGGGAAGTAAACCCAAGTACAAAAAACTTTTGATTTGCGATTGTACGCTTAAAATTTTGTTTATATGTTTTTTTCATAATCAGCAATGTATATTATATGTCATGAATAAGTGATAATTGTGTTTTAATTATGTTTGATGTTTTGTTTGCATGTGAGCTATAACAATCAACTTATTTTCCCTTTACATGGTGCTTTTTACAGGATACATATAAAACCAATTCCATTAAAAGTACTCAAGGATGCAAAACCGAAATCAGTTTGTTGCTTGTTTTACACTTGTGCAACTTATATAAACGGCAATAACATAGTATAGGGCCCAACCTGAAAGTATTGAAAAGCCCTTTCAGCAAGTAGACATCATGAAGAACTATATGGAAGTTGTACCTACCTGCAGGTACCTCTGCTGGTTCCTGCACAATGGCGGTGTATGCTGCAGAATCCTGCACACCATGTGACTTGTCTGTTGGATAGAACGTGACTGTTCTGACCATTCCAGCCACCTTCATACTATCCCGAAGATGTTTCACATTTGCTTTTACAAAGGTAACTCCAGTCCTGTCAAAGGGTATTTCCTCTACTGACTTTTTCAACATAGAGTTCAAAGAGGCCTCAGATGATACCAATATTTGTAGATCTTCTACCTTGTCAGCTTTGGTGCGCACCTGGTTCGAGTAGTCAATACAAGTCTGTATATTAGTCAGTTGTAATTTTGTTGCATGCAAGGCCTCCTCGATAAGCTTTAGATTCTTAGCGGATTTCTCATCAACATCTGACAGAAGGGTCGTTCTTTTGTGTCTCAGATCATCAAACAGATCTTCAAAGACTCTGTTGATATCATCTCTCGCTACTTTCTGTGAGAGTTTGAAGTTGTTTATCTTCGATTGCAGGTTTGACACCAATTGGCGAAGATTCTTTGTCCTTTCCTCCACCTTGACTAACATGTCCTTTGTCGAATTTAACTTTTCATGGTGTGCAGCATCCACGGACACGATGCTATGTCCTTTGTGTTCTACTACAGTACATGACACACATATAACTTGGTTACAATTGCAGCAGTAGAACTGTAGTGGCAGTTGGTGCTGACCACACTGATGTGGACGACGGACGCTCTGCACAGGTTGCCCCTTCATCTGATCAAAGCTGTTTACAGTGTGATCTTTAGTTACACTATTTCGTTTATGAGCATGTACGCAGTTCGGACATAAAAATGTTCCACAGTTGTCACACTGGGCTTGAGCTGTTTCCTTGTCAGGACAGTCTGTACATGGCAGATGAAGACCTTTCTGGATCTTTAGGTAGTCCAGAGTCTTCAGGATGACCGTCTCTTTGGGCAGGGATTTCACTCCACCAGGAGGCAGGTAATGCCGATCTCGACACATGGGGCAGTCTAAGACAGTATTGCCTCTACTGCATTTTTCTAGACAAGGCTGACATATGGACTGGGTGCACGGTATACGACGAGGGATTCGTCTTTCCTCGTCAAAGTGTTCTGCACATATTGGGCATTCTGCTAGGTAATCCTTGATCGCAGCCTTTGAGACAAGGTCCGCCATGGTTGTCTGGCAAAACACATAATGGTCACGATCATGCACAATAAAAATTAATGATTCTCTTTCATTAATTTTATATCAATTCGTTTTTGAACTGTGAAGCATGTTTTGAGGCAGTGGGATTGATATTGTGCACATCTTACAACTCCTACGCATATTTGTAAAACAATGGCATATACGTGATCCACAAGATATATCCTCAGAGTCAGACACCTAATCGCCAGCACACAAAGTCAGCCATCTAACCCCATTCAGTGTGGAAGTACCGGTGGCTGAGTGGGTTAGAACGCTGACCTTGTATGGTGGCGATTAGCTGCCAGGGCCCCGATCCACAAAGCATTCGTAACGTTACGACCTTTCGTGATAGTTTATAATCGGCTTACGAATGTCGTAGCGCTAAGAGTGAGTTAAGTTTCCAGTATTCCAGCTATATGGCGGCGGGCTGTAAATAATCGAATCTGTATCAGACAGTCCAGTGATCAACAGCATGAGCATCGATCTACGCAATGGGGAACCGATGACATGTGTCAACAAAGTCAGCGAGCCTGACCACCCAATCCCGTTAGTTGCCTCTTACGACAAGCATGGGTTACTGAAGATCAATATTCTAACCCAGATCTTCACGGGTCGTAGCGCTAAGAACACGTTGTGGATCGGGCCCCTGACTCTTAGGATGTAAGTTCGAATCACGGATGGGACTCAACCCAAAAAGAAATCCTAGAATCTGTATTTTAGAGAGGGTGTACTCCCAAATATAACATGTTAGATATTCAGGATGATATTTCTACAAGAGTTGTTCCATCCTGGATAACCCTTGTACAGTAGTTTGTCTCATCCCGGAGGAATACCGAATGAGAATGATATTGGTCTTTGCTCTACAATAAACAGTAGCATACAAATGTCTCAACAATCGTGTACACGTGAAGATCTGGGTTAGAATTGGTCTTCAGTAACCCATGCCTGTCTTAAGAGGTGACTAACGGGATCGGGTGGTCAGGCTCGCTGACTTGGTTGACACATGTCATCGTATCCCAAATGCGTAGATCGATGCTCATGATGTTGATCGCTGCATGGATTGTCTGGTCAGACCGCTGCCATATAGCTGGAATACTGCTGAATTCGGTGTTAAACAACAACCAACTGTCAACAGTCTTATGTATATAGTTTGCAGAAGTACACAACAAACGTAAGATATCTATGTGAGAGGAACATTTTCGAAGCAATCAGGCGCCAAAACACAAAATACTTTGCAATTGGCAATCATGAAGCACGTGACCATTCACGTGCAAGGGTTGCTGTTACCATAGTCACTGAGATTCTGTTGTGAGCAGACGCACATTGCATTCTTGGAACCAAACGCTCAAAGAGAAACATATTTAATAATTAAGGAAGTCACAGATCATTCAAAGTTTGCAACGTGCTGAATGCGCGGGTGCCATAGGCACAATACAGTGAATGAGTGAATGTGGTTTTACCCTGATTTTAGCACTATTCCAGCAATATCACAGCAACACCAGAAATGGGAGAATCGAACCTGTTTCTTTGGCGTGACGAGCAAACGCTTTAACCACTAGGCTACCCCACTGCCCCGGGCACACTACAGATGGGTGGGTGAATATTTCTGTAAATTGCTGCATGTTTCTCAATCGATTGCCCAAATCAATTAATACATGTATTTCCAAACCAATGCATACACTCTTCAAAAATAGAAACGCATAGGCGTTTTCAGCAGTTCATTTCGATATATTTTGACAGCATTCGTCATTAAGTCAAGTCCCATGTTTGAATCCCGTTAATCACGTCGTGTTTGTTGTGTACTGCGGGCAAACGCATCCCAAAATGTGTTTGTAAACGTTTGTCATAAAAAACGAAAACGATAAAAAGTGCATTCAGAAAAAAGTTTACCACGTAACGCACGGGCAATGTGTTGGACACATGAGTAGAGATATCAACTATAAAGGGCCAAACCAAATTTACGACGTGAATGAAGATAACACTGCCAAGAGTGAATGCTACGGACCGAAACATCGCAGTTGGACGAAGGACCGATTCATCCGGGTTTTTCACCTACGTCACCGATTTGCTACAGCAACGCACAGTGCAGGACAGATGATCTTCGAAGAATTTCCGACTAAACCATCAGAAATTGTCTGAGAGTAGTGGGAATTCGAGCATATCGACCAGAAGTTGGACCTGTCCTGACACGACTACACCGACAACGACGTGTCCAATGGTGCAACTAGGTACAGGTTATCTAACCTGGGAAACGCATGGAACGCGTTTAGTTCAGGGGTGAATCGGGTGTCCTCCTGCAACGACGGGGTGGGAGACAGCGTATCTGTCGACGTCAACAAGAACGTTTTGCGCCGAACTGCGATCGACAGGTGGACAGATTTGGTGAAGAAAGCGTCATGGTGTGTGGAACCATGTTCTACACGGGTAGATCGGAACTAGTGGTGGTTCAAGGCAGTCTTACAGCAAATCGCTACACCGACCAAATCCTGCGACCTCACTTCCTTACACTTTTTAACCGCCAGAGGGAGTTGTTTCAACACACCAACGCTCGATCCCACACAGCTCGTGCTGAAGCTTAATCGACTTATGTACACTTAAATACGTTAAATACAATTCCTTACTTTCAGCCTTTGCGTATCTTTATTTGAAGAGTATATTACGAATGTCAGAAATGTGGGATCCTACATACATCCTTACACAAGGCCAGACACTCCGTACAGTACCGCTGGCCTTGGACAGCTTTTTTTCTGAAGTGAAATCGCAAATCAACGTTTTGTGGATCAAGCCTCAGCTCCCTTGTTCATGGAGGCAGCTGGTGCACATGCCTAGACACTGCCAAAACATGTATGCATAGATGACATTTTCATGTCATCTCACAACTTCCTGCAAAACACTATTGATCTTCAGTAGCCCATGCTTGTCGTAAGAGGCGACTAACGGGATCGGGTGGTCAGGCCAGCTGACTGGCTTGACACATGTCATTGGTTCCCAATCGTGCAGATCGATGCTCATGCTTTTGGTCACTGGATTGTCTTGTCCAAACTCGATTATTTACAGACCGCCGCCATATAGCTGGAATACTGTTGAGTGCGGCATAAAACTAAACTCACTCACTCACTCACATACACATACATATATACAGACAGACAGACAGACGAACGTACACAGGCATACACACCTACCTACATACCTACATACAGACAGACGCACATACACAGGCACACACACCTACCTACCTACATACATACAGACAGGCACACATACAGACATACACACGTACCTACCTACATACATACATACATACATAGAGACAAACATACAGACATACCTGCCTACCTACCTATCAACATACGCACACACACATACACACACACCTACCTACCTACCTACCTACCTACATACATACAAACATACATATACATACATACATATACATAGATACATACATGTGAGAAAGTGATTTGGTTTTCCGACAAAACTTCACACACACACACAAGGAAGTTGTCATGACATTACACATTTTTTTAGTGTGGCCAAATAACCACACGACCAACATTTCAACCGATACTCAAGCCCCCACCGGAGACACACTCCTATCTGAAGACACTTGAACGTTCTTACCTCTGTTTCTCTCTCCTTACAGGTGACAGTAGAACGGGGCTGTACAATATAGGTATATATACAACAGTAAAAACACTTCTCCACCTGCGTCCCATCTGCACATGCGCAGTAGCTACTTTCGTTATGACATCATGAATACCTCATGTTGTGTTCAGTATCGTGCGACGGTAATGTAGGTCGCTTGTATGCACTATACTTCGATCGCGCCGGGGACACAATAACGCTTCATACGAGTAGGTGTTCAGTCATAGAACCAGACGACATGAATTGGTTATCTCCCAATTGACAGACACCCAATTGACAGACACTGAACTAGAAGGTTAATTAGGGTAACACCTATGGGTATAATGGAACAGTCCACTGCCCAGTGACTAGAGCAGGGTGAGCCTGAAACAGGGTCCTTACTGAGAAGTTTGATTGTGGGTAAATAGAATTTTGTGGTGATTAAATTATAAATGATTTCTCTTCTCAAATTGATTACTATCAATTACTATCGAATATAAAAACAGGTTTGTCACTGAGAGGTTTGATTGTGTTTATTGATAGAAAAGACCCCTCCCAATAATAGCACATGCACAACAGAAGTTAACTCAGAAAACGTTTTGTTGGAGAGATATAGATATGTACATATTTGAAAACATTCTGATTTGTAGAGAATGAGACACCTGCATTGTCATGTAAGATACGATTAATACCAATCAGTGTCCTGATTTTAACAATACTTTCTAAAGATTGTAACAGTTTATGTCTTTGAGTAGTATACAATGGACATTCAAGGAAGTAATGAAAAACGTTCTCACATCCATGGCCACATTCACATGATGCGTCATATCTTAAATATTTATTCTAAATACATCGTAGTTAAGTGCACTCGTCATATATCTTAATATTGTGCAAAACATATAACTTCTTTATTCCATATGAATAATATTTAGTTTCGCATTTGTCTTTATTTGATTTATATGATACAGCAGTGTCGCAATTCCTAATAGCTAAGATAATGTTTTCAATATATATGGTGATGCCGACTCCCGTTAGACTGGAAGGTTAAACCGAAATGTTTATGAAAATAAACTGTTTTTTATATTGCAGCAATAAAACTTCAAATTACTGTCTTTTCATCCATCTTTCAAATAAATAATAAATAATATAGCTTCAGTTTGTTCCTGTGTTTTTATTTGGACTATTCCATTATAATGTGTAGGTAACAGGTAGTAGATAATCTGTTCACTTAACCGTAAATGTTGTTGTTTTAAGGTGTCTGCGAACTGGCTGTCTGCGTGATGGGAGGACACCAATGAATTCATGTTTCAAGGGTCAGGGACAATATACAAACCGTCTCATAGTTAGAGTGAGTGCGTGTGTGCGTGAGTGAGCTTGCGAGCATGGTTTTTCGCAGCTTTTAGCAATAATCCAACAATATCACGGCGGGGAACACCAGAAATGGCCTTCACACATTGTATCCATCGAAACCTAACCATGAATCGAACCCGTGTCTTGTGCGTTTCCGAGTTCAGTGTAAATAGTATCCGTCAGAATGGGAAAGGGACTGCTCCCTTTCTACAGGATCTGCTCCTCTGTTAATAAGAGTCAGAAATTCTAAGATTGGCAAAGTCAAAACTAGGTGATTTGGCCAAGAAGTTGAACTTCCAAAGATTTACCTATCTCAGCAACAAGATACAGGGTAAAAGCCACAGCTGTTTCATAAACAGATCTATGCAGAAAGTGTCCAAAAGCTCTCCACAGGACAGAATGACTGTAGCATTCTAAATATTAACAGTGGCCGAGACATAACTCTCCACTCTCAGGATTACACAAGTACAATAAGTGAGTTTGGTTTTATGCCACTTTTAGCAATATTCCAGCAATATCATGGCAGGAGACACCAGAAATAGGCTTCACACATTGTACCCATGTGGAGAATCGAACCTGGGTCTTCCGCGTGACGAGCAAAGCTTTAACCACAAAGCTACCCCACCGTTCCAGTCAGTGTCGAAATAGTTTCCCAATTTTGATAGACAGTCGGGCTAGCTATGCCTGAAAGTTACTAGCCGACAAAATAATTCACTTACCCGAAATTTGAATGTAGAAACTAAGCAAAAGGTTTCAGAAAGTGAAGTGAGTTTTCTAAGAATTAAACACGTTTTCCGGCCCTGACAACGTCCTAGATATGTTCCATCATCAAGTATTTCAAACTCTATTACAGCGGTTCCAAAATCGTTGTGTTTGATTATGAAATAATCGATTGCTTGGTTGTTTGGCCACTCCGACCAATCTTTGATTATTTCAGTTAATCGGAACACCACTAGTCTGTAGTGGATGTGTTCCTATATAGTTGTCTTGACAAGTTTTTCAAAAGATTCTTCCAACATCGGATTATTGTTTCACAAACATAACATATAAGTCAGGAAGTTGTTTCATGGAACTACACTCAAACTTCACCTTACAGGTAAGTCTCGTTTAATTTTGTAATTCTATGCAACAATGTCTTTGATAAGGGGTATAAATCTGCTTTTAAAAAAAACACATGTTCCAACAAAACGGTAATGTCCATTTCCTGAAAGTGATGCAAGGCAAGAGATATCAAGAACCAGTTTATTAAACACGGCTTCAGAATTAGATAAGAATACAACATTGTACCATTGGTTTGACAAGGTTTGATGAGCATCAAACAGTGTATGAAATAAGGCCTGTCCGACATCCGGTTACCTGTTACTTTTGGTCTAGGCCGGCAACTACTTGAAGTTTTTGTTTAATTTTGCCATTTAAAAAGACAAGTTATCACATTTGGGCTGGCTATTTTCAAACTTATTTCATACACTGCATTAAACAAGCTTTCACACAAGTTTACCATCACACATATATATGAAATAATTCTGTATGAGCATCCTAAAAAATGTAAAAGAAACACAAATTAGACACAAATGCAATCTCTGGTTTTCCACCTATCAAATATAAACACCACATAGCACCAACCAAAACAGCTGTAGTAAAACATTTGTCTGACAGGACGAATGGCTGAAAAACTGACAGAATATACAATACATGGCCATACATACATACAATTTATCTTACCTCACACAAAAATGTCGTTTTCTGATTGGCAGAGCGGTCTTCTATTATTTTCCATGTACCCCGCTTATATGCGAGTAACATTTTCTGTGTTACCCGCTGAGAATGCTGAACTGTGGGGAACTCATTTGACGTATTAGAAATTCTTTATATCAAATAATTGATTCATGTATGATGTTTTGCGAATGAAATAGATGGAAGGGAGATAACTCTTGTTTTTCTTGTCGTCTGCTAGATTCCATGTGATCAGAAAATCTAGAATTGGCTAATTGCCTAACTGTGGTACTCCTTATCCAATAACCATGCTTCAAACAGTTCAAAATTAACACTGAGGTGTTCGGTAAAATAAATACACTGCTCACTTAGTCCCCCCTGTGACCAGTGAACAACTTAAACTTGTAAAACGGCACGTAACACAAATGATGTAAAACGGCACATAACATACTTTGATGTAAAACGGCACGTAACACAACCTGATGTAAAACAGCACGTAACAACTTGATGTAAAACGGCACGTAAGACAACTGATGTAAAACAGCACGCTACACAACTTGATGTAAAACGGCACGTAACACAAATGATGTAAAACGGCACGTAACACAACTTGATGTAAAACGGCACGTAACACAACTTGATGTAAAACGGCACGTAACACAACTGATGTAAAACGGCACGTAACACAACTTGATGTAAAACGGCACGTAACAACTTGATGTAAGACGGCACGTAACACAACTGATGTAAAACGGCACGTAAGACAACTAATGTAAAATGACACGTAACACAACTAATGTAAAACGGCATGTAACACAACTGATGTAAAACGGCACGTAACACAACTGATGTAAAGGTAAACAGGATACACACTAGACATAACATCTGACTGGTGAACTGGTATTCAGTACATATATTTTGGTAACAAATTCAAATAAAAGTTGAATTATACAGCTGATAAAGATCTTGGTAGATTTTGGTGGGAATCATTGACGGTTGTTGACATCAATATCACACATCTTTGGTAGGTGTGTACACAAATATGAACATCATTAATCAGTGAGTGAGTGAGTTTGGTTTTATGCAGCTTTCAGCAATATTCCAGCAACATCACGGCGGGGGACACCAGAAATGGGCTTCACACATTGTACCCATGTGGGGATTCGAACCCGGGTCTTCGGCGTGACAAGCCAACGCTTAAACCACTAGGCTACCCCACCGCCCCCTCAAAAAGGATGATATATAACCAGTATCATGGCAAATGCTTATTTAGTGACTATATTAACAAAACATATCCTATATTTGGGACTACACTTTCTAGTAAAGTACATATCTTAGTACTCATTGAGTCTCATCCCGGATTTAAACCCACATTCTCAGGGTAAGGCAGTCTACAAAGTCAGCGATCTAACCCACTCAGCCACTGCAGCCTCCACAAAATAATTGGAGTCAGACAACTGGTAGTCATGCTCACATAGTTTGTGTGCCCCTCTGACAAGTGTAAATTGTCACAGTTCACATGGACAAAAGGTATGAAAACACTTTACTGAGAAAGAGCAATCCCAAATATAACAGGTTACATTTGACCACTTTCTAAATGACAATGTGTTTACATACACAAAATTTATTCAGACTTGAGGATGTCCCTCGACACAGATCACTAGACTTCCATGGCAACAAAGGACATACTATGATAACGCTAAGATTTCCAAGCATCCTTTTCAAAAACAACAGTTATATCCAAACTTGAACAAAACCTCAAAGTCACTTAGGCCACAGCATAATTCAGTCAGTCATTTCCATTCCAAGCTGGGAAATTCTTGCAAAAGAAATATTTTTCCTCTTGGATTCTGAAATCAACACATCACAAAAAATATTCCTATTTCACTAAAGGCATGAGTTTGCTGAAACACTGACTAGTTTCGTATCACATGCATGTGGTGAGGTTGGGGTTTGGAAGTAAAATATTTGGTAGCGCTTTCAGTGGGTTATGATGTCAGAAAAAACACTTCTAACAACAGATATATAAACAGTTGACTAACAAATGGGAAGACATAAGCTTTCAATACCTTCAGGTGATATAATGTTCAATCTGATTTTGAACAACGAGCAATATCCTTTGGACTGATTCCACTATTATGTAAAATATTGTAAAAATATGTTCTCAGAAACAGCACCTGTCCATTTTCTAAGGTAGTTTGGACAATAAAACACCAGAAAAGTTAGTATCTAAAAATTCGAACAGCTTATAATCAAAATAATCCTTTTGTCTGCATTTCATTTACATTTGAATGCAGTACTCAGCAATAATCCGGCTATATGAGAGCATTCTGTAAATAATCCAGTCTGGACCAGACGATCAAGTGACTGATACAGTGAAGAACGCTGTGGTCAGTGTCTCATGACAGAACCAACCAAGTCTGACCACCCAATACATTTGGTCATCTAATATGGTCAACCATCATGGTTGTTTGAGAGCTACATTCTAACTCGGAATCCACAGAAGTGATGACATGGTGGATTAGCATGTCTTGTTCGTCTGTAAATCGCTCCAGATTGCACGGATATCCTCCGCCGTGTTGGAATGTCCTGATATGGCATCTTTATATGCACATCCATTCACATCCCGCTTGTTGAAAGTGAACCGTGCACTATTAACTAGTTTTGCATTTATTCGCTTTGCACATATCCCTGTAATGTATATATCCTCCAACCAAAACATCCTGGTATGAAGAGCCATGTGATATAGCTCATACACAACGTCACCAGATATCACATAGGCAGTGCCACTTGTATAATCTGGATATTTACTCATGGGAAAGTCTGATACTGGAGTATACCATTTAGATTTTGGATCCTGTATGGGCACGGCGCCACTAACCAGGCTTCCAAGAACTGTCCTTTCATACTTCTCTTTCGCAAGAAGATTTATCAAATTGGGAATGTGAATAAACATATCATCATCACTTTTCAACAAATACCTGGCTTCTTGACAGAACTTGGACACCCATCGTAAAGCAGCGACTGACTTGATTGATAAATTTTGATACGAGTCAACAAAAGTTTCTTGGACGATATCGTTATACTTCCGATTCTCCTCGCCTATTTTCACCTGTGTTGTATTGTCTGTGAGTCCCAAAATGAAAACCAGGTGGATATCTGGATATTGTGTCACCCACGATCCCCATGTTTCACGGATTGCTTGCCGCTCTGGATACTTGGCAGGTGCAGATTCTACAACCACTGTTAAAAAAATCGATTGATTTTTTCTTTTATTTCTGCATGCTGTCTGTGCTGTGAAAATGTAGTCATAGTTGTGTGTGTGATTGTAATCAAAGAAGCCACTCTCGAACAAGTTCAATTTCACTCTGTTCCTACTGATAATGCTGACCATGCTGTACAGGACAACCGATGTGGAGACGATCACACACAGCAGACACAAAGGTTTGCGTCGGGACAAGCCACGCAACATAACTGGTCGGGAAGTCTCCACCTTGCTGTCCAGTCCTGAAATTTTCAACACCAGTGAATTAGCGGATCAGTTTTTGCAAATATAATCGGTGTGATAACTGCATAAGTGGCACACAAACATAACAGGTCACTCAGAGAAAGGTTTGTTTGTTTGTTGTTTAATGCCACAATCAGCAATTTGTTAGCTACCCAGATAGCATTCCGACGTTGGCCCAACGTTGGCAATGGTTGGCAACGTCGCGGTCGGATTTCAGACGTTGGCCTGACGTTGGCCCAACATCGGGGAAGCCCTTGGTGTTAAATGTCTGGGGTAAGGCCAATAAAAATTTTAATGTTTCAAATCATTGTGTTGGGATTTCTTCCAGGGTCTGTTGCCTAATGGTTATCTATTTAAAAATCAACTATTTTTTAATATCGTTTGTGATATACATAGACTTGAAAATTGTTTTGAAATATGCATAATATTTTAACTAATTGTATTCGAAAAAACTTTAAAGTTTTCTTGAGCCTACATAAAGCTGTCCAGAGGTGTCCAGCAAAGACAGAGAGAGTGAATTCAACTTGAAGAATGTATTGCTTGCTATGTGATAGTATTGCGAGATTTGTACAAACATTTCAGGGTAGGTAAGAGGTATTGAGGAATGAAACAGACGTTGAACCAACGTTGGGCAACGTTTCTTTCTTTGCCAACATTGGCCCGACGGTCACGATTACGTTGGGCCAACGTTGGGCCAACTTCAGACTGCTATCTGGGTATATTGCAGGGTTCTGTAAATAATAGACTCTGAACCAGACAATTCAGCGATCAATAGCATGAGCATTGATCTATGAGATAACACTGTTTCTCTGCATTTAAAAAAATACACCATGGATGATGAATACAGCGAAACTCAAACAGATCACTAAATATAGTTTGTTATAACCGTAGTTAGCTGTAAACAATACAAATAAATATGGGACAAAAACAACAGCTGGTTATTAAAATATTATTGAGTTTCTCATGTTCAAAATATATGACTAAAAAAACATTTAAGTTGTTTGCATTAAAAAAGAAATATGAAAGAAATATTATTTCATGATCATGATCAACAGTCATTAAAATATACTTTGAGCTCAGCCAACCACAAAATACAACATGATTCAATGCAGTAATTGTATTATAAAATAATATTATTTGTTGGTATTATTGCTATTTTCTTTGATGGGCATTTTAGAAGTTGAGTTGATGAAGAATTGACAATTATTATGGAGATTAGTGTTGGGAATTGGTTGAAATCTCACAATTGATGATTGCTTCATTACCAACGAACAATCATCGAAAACAATTGCTTAGCATCATTTTTCAGATTTTCCTATCTAGGTTGTTATTGCAGATAGGTATAAGATTATGCAACTTGCTATTTTAAAGTGATGACTAATATATCAAGACCATAAACTTCCTGGAGTCTTCAAAAAATATTCAGTCATGACTTTTCAGTTAGTGAAGTGAGTTTTCTAAGAATTAAACAAGTTTGCAGGCCCCGACAACTTCGAAGATATGTTCCATCGTCAAGTGTTTTAAAGACTAAAACAGCAGTTCCAAAATCGTTTGTGTTCGATTATGAGAAAATGTGATCGATTGCTTGGTCGTTTGGTCACTGCGACCAATCTTCGATTATTTCAATTAATCGGAACACCACTAATGGAGATACAACTTCTTTTATTCTGTGGAGGCGACGTTTCGACATAGATTCTAATGTCGTTGTCATTATGTCAAGCAAGTGATTGACAATGACATTAGAATCTATGTCGATACGTCGCCTCCACAGAATAAAAGATGTTGTAGATCCATAATATTCATAATTGTCATTATTCTTAATATTGCTATTTGCAAAACAATATGCAAACAAGTTACCATTCCTTTTAAACAAACACACACATAACATGGATATAAAAAGCAATGGCATAACTACTCTCCTTGTAGGTACCCAATGTATCCTGTTCATACTGGGCACCTGTATTTTCTAACGTATATCACTGATAAAATACAGGCACCAACTATACAAGAACATGCAGTGTTTGTGAGTACACAATAAATACTGAGTTTTCCCTAGCAGAAATGGGGTTCACACACTGCATCCATGGGGGAATCGAACCCACGTCTTCAGCGTGATAAGCGAACGCTTTAACCAGTAAACCATATCACTTCTCTGTCATTTCTGTAATAGACTTGCTAAATACCATGACATCATGTTGGATTGTCCTAATAGCAACTCTGCCGTTATGATGAATAAACTGTGCTGACTTTAAACCTTGTTAGCCATTCCAGATGTCATTCAAATCCATGAATGTTTAAATGCTGGAGGACTGCCAGCGTACTGCCATGAATAACGCATAAACAAAATTCTGTGTCCTACTTATTAAAAATTTCAACATGTATGTCTCTGTTTTAATTTGCAGTGTTCCGATTAATTGAAATAACCGAAGATTGGTCTGAGTGACCAAACGAGTAAGCAATCAATCACATTTTCTCATAATCGAACACAAACAATTTTGGAACTCAGGGTTTTACATGACGCGTGATTCCTGCGTATTCAACGCAACAATTTTGTATACGACTCTCAAAATATTATCCTACGAGTCAAGCTTGACGCAAGTTTCATGGGTTACCCTCACAACTCAGTTCAATAAAATCGATTTGATAAGCAAAAAAATGATATTATCAGATTGTTCCAGAGAACTCAGAAGAGACAGTAATCCTGGCTGTTTGAATTGAACAATGCTGTAGTTTCATTTGGTGGTGACATACATTTACATTCTGAGAATGATTAACGCAAGGAAATATTAAACTTTTCATGACTCCCAAATACTGAAAATGACTCCCTAAAATAAATATTGTGAGTCACCATTACTCCCATTTTTAAAAGTCTGTGTAAAACCCTGGAACTACTGTTTAAGTGTTTGAAACACTTGACAAGGGAACATATCTTAGATGAGCCCGAAACATGTTTAACTCGCCGGAAACTCACTTCACCTACTCAAAAGTCATGACTGAATATTTCTTGAAGACTCCAGGAAGTTTATGTTCATGAGATATTAGTCATCACCTTAAAGTAACAAGTTGCATCATTTTGCATTGCATGTGAAATTTGCAAATGCAATTTGGGCAGTTTCCAAATAAAACAAAAAATCCCAGAGAACCACATTATACTTACTTGCCATAACAACCTGAATAGGAAAATCTGAAAAATGACACTAACCAGTTTGTTTCGATGATTGCTTGTTGGTATAAATGAACAGTTCGCCAGTTTTAATACATGCAATTCATGTTTGACAATGCTGCACTTGAAACTGAAGGTATTGAATTTACAATTCACTTTAAAACAATATCAAGATATTTTACATAGGGGTAAAATACCAAATTTAATAGAATGGACACAGGAGACATACAGTGTATACCAAAAGAAGGCTGTGAATACTCATTGTGAATGTTCACTCAAGGTAACAACTCAGTGGCTCCAAAAACATTATCTCTCGACCTTTACACCCATGCAAGCTCTGGATTTCCATTCCATGTATACTGGCAAGCGAACAGTTATCGCTGCATAACAGTTATCACCAATACATCAGTATCACACATGCACAGTTCCTGTCAATTACATTTACAATTCCGTATTTTTTCCCAACGGTATTTGACAACAATAAAGGACAGCAAAAGAATATTCTTCACGGTAAGTAACATAAGGTGAAAATTAAAGATGAAGTTATGAACCCTATAAAATTATTTAACTTAGTCGGGGGAATATCCCACAACCTATACAATAGCAAGTTCAAGTTGACAAGTCATTAATTGTTTCATTCCCTATCAATCTGTTGTAAAAGAAACACTCAAATAGTCACACAATCAATTATTCAAGGTTACTTTATGATATAAATACATATTATTTCACGAATGGCATGAGAAATTCTGAATGGCGATAACTGTTACAGTTAGTTGTGAGAAAACATCTATTTATACTGCCATGATTCCCTTCCACCGTGTTATATAAAAACATGACTCGGCGGCAGTAAACGGGCTGGACACATCAGTGAATGGCTAATTAAGTATCATTATAAATTCTGTTTCATTAACTTAACGACCGACAGAGTATTTTTGTAAATACCGCTAAGATTTGGCAATAACTGTTCCATAGCCAGTAACATTTCCTCAGTTCTTGCGCTTTAAAATTCAATCATCATCCTTGCATCATGGATACTTAAGAACATCTGTTTTCTCAGTTCGCATATGAACAATTGTAAAATGTCACTAACTTATCAAAAACAAATTTATATTAAACTTATGAAATTATGAGAATATTTACAATGTCTGCTTTTATGCAACCCGTTCGTTATTGTGAAAATAAACACTGCCGTCCAAAAAACGTATGACACGTAAAAACATAACATTGTCAAATCAGTTGAAATTTAGACTTTATAAAAATAAAATTACACAACTATAAGCACAAACTATAACATTTTATATATACCTTGTTCTCCCTGGTCTATCAGATATGATATCAGATATTACACTGTGGCCGATTTATGAGAGAAAATGCTTGATGAATCAATTAGTAGTAAATGCAGATATCGAAGAACACCAGCGCCTGTGTTGTGGTTGCGCATATCCGTTTTATGGTGTTCCTAGATTATTTCTGCAGGTCAAACGTGACTCAGTTTCGAAACACTTCAATAGCTTATGTCACATGTTGTGAAATGCAGCGACTGTTTATGACAGAAAAAGATCGATTAATTCGCGAGATGAGAGTGAGCCAATGCCCTCAGGGCTAGAATGCATTTTACCGGGCGCAGCATTAGCTTTGGTATTTGGAAAATATATATGTATATATACAACAGATTTCCCGCTGCAGTGAAATCAGTGGTGTATCAGTTTGGGCAATGGTGATCGGGTGTTGAAATTTACCATATAAAATTGCTGTTGACATGCCGATTCCGAAACTCTAAAGGGATTCATCAGGACCGGATATGCTTGGATATTTGATCAAGGGCAGATAACTCTAAGGAGACAATATTGACGTGCAACAGGTGAGATAGACATTTATGACTGTGGTTTATGACTGACTGCGCATATTAGAGTGACAGCATCAGAGGTAGGTTACACAGCAGTGGAAATTTATCTCAATTGACGCACGAAACGTCTGCGCATGTCTTATAGGTTTGTCGTGACTCTAACAGCTCAGCACAAGAGGCTTGAAGAGCTTCTAGTTTTAGTTTTGTGTTGAAAAGTCGACCTCTAGGTCTACACTTTTTAATGATTGATTAATGAAAAGTATTATGATACATATTAACATAATTTGACTAATAGCATTAACTTAATTTTATGTTTTCGGTTAAATAAAGAAACTCTGTATTTAAAATTTAAAACCATCTACAGCTATAATAGGCACTTGTAACGTAAAAGTCTTGCATCAAGGTATGTACTGTCACTGACGTGTCTTAACACTATATAAAGTGTTATTTTTGCATTACAAGCCCCTGTGAAACCATCAATTTGAGGCGTGTTAATGTGACAACCTTCTAAATCCACTTAAAAGGTCACTCATCTAGGTCAATTTTCTCTGGGACAGGTGCATGGGTATATATAATTTTGTAGCGGATAACCTGATGAAACCCCAGATTTGATGACTGATCATGACTTCTGCCAAGTTCTTTTAGTGGATAACAACTTCTTTTATTTGAACATCGCACTCACAAAATACAAGAAGTTGTTATCCATAAAGTTTGTCAATATCAGACCTTTTGGCACTGCCCATAAACTTTGATAGTATCCAAGGGTGTTTCTTCACATTGATCATCAAAAATCAATAGTTTCTATGTTGCAGTTAGTAAAACTCCTAAATATTTTAGTCATTTTACAAATTCACTGCATGTAACATCCATTTCTAGTTTATCATGATAACAATCCAAAACTATAGTCCATTTGATTTCATTTGAGACCGATGAATTGAATCAAGGTAGACTCTGACAGCAGCGACACCGATTCAGAAAACAGTGACACTGATTCTGAATGCAGAATCACGGCTTCTGAAGGTGGCAACACTGACTCCGATTGAACATCCAAAGTGGTAACCAGATAACGGCTTTTGAGATGACCCTCATTTCACTACACATGCTTGTTGATTACCTGGCTGTTCTTCCATGCAAATGGTTCCCTCGTAAAAAATTGCGAAAAACTGCAACAAAATGATGATTGTTTGTTAAACAACTTTTTTATTCAGGTGTCCAATATTATGAGATAAATCATCAGAGTTGGTCTGTCAATTTTATGTGACTGTGCAAAATTTGGTTTTGTTGCAATTATTAGATTTTGTGTTAGTGAGCAATTCATCGGTCTCAAATGAAATCAAACAGACTATACTTGTTAAAGACATATTCAAGACCAGTCAAAAAATGAATATTCCAAATTTCGGATATATACCCGGTCAAATTAAGTAATACTACGACATTACAAAATGTATTTATTTAGTTTCTGGTGAAAAGTATATATTTGTTAAATTGTGGTCATCATTACATGCTATATTGAAAAATTTCTTTATTTGACCTCATTATACATCCAGGGTTCGAAATACCCATATATTAGTGTGCCATGGCACGGTAAATATTGAAATGGCATGGCTAAAAGATGTTCTTGGTGCTCTTTGACATGCCTGATTTTTCAGAATCATAACTCACATTTAGTCATTTAATCCCCCAAACAATTATTTTTTTCCAAATTGAATAATACCATACATATTTGAATGCTCATAAACCCATTTCTTTATTTAACAATAAATTTCAAATGATCATCATCATTGTCATTTATTCTAAAAACATGTGGGCATACTCAATTTCTGAAAGCCACACCTAAAATATTTGTCTGGTACCCTAAGGCACACTTAGAAAACAAAGTATTTCTATCCCTGACATCGTAAAAGGTCACTGTGTTTTATGTACCTCATGTTTGTCAAATTTTGTACATATATATATATACTGTTGTCAGTGACAAACCCAATTGTAAAACATGAAAACTAAACTTCCAGGCAGGTGTACCGCTAACCTATAACTTGTAAGATCGTCCTGACAGGGTACTGACAACCTGAAAAATTCGACCCCCTTCCACAGACTGCTATTTTTGGTCCTCAAAATTCAGTTAATATACGGTTAGTTAAAAAAGATAACAATCCCAAACATTTTGAAGCTCAATTTTATATAAACATATTTTCATTCAATAAATGAATAGGGATTGGTGAACAAGCTGTTACAGATTATATTAATATCGCTCCTATACAACATATTATAGAAATAGAGGATACTGAACAACCTTCCGTGTATTACCATTTTTATTAAACGAGTTAATGATTTGGTATCAAGTGTGTGAAGAGAGTTTGATACTAAATGTTTCACAAGTTTAATAAAAATGGTATTTCAGGGAAGCGATTTTAGTATTCTGTTTATAACTCTCCAACATAAATTGATAGAAACTGCCTACAGTGTGAAGACTCTCAGCTTTCTGCAACTCATGGAAGGTTTAATACCATTGTGACCAAGATATTAGCATTGTGACTTCATAACTGTAAACCATTATGACGTCATACGTCTATCGGTATTACACTTGTGTAATATTGCCATGAAAATATTACACTGCAGTATCTTCCACGAGCGAGTAATGATAATGATAATTGTAAGGTTAGAACATGATATACGTTATCTTACAAGTTAACAACTGTATGTTAAACATAAGCAGTGAAGTATTTTAAAAACAAATTGATATGATGTGTATTTGTATTTTTGTCTAAATCTGTCAGATGAACACATGTATGAGTAACAGTTTGGATTGCCTGAAGAGTTAATGGAATTGAACATGTACCGAAACAGATTGGCGATCTGTTTTCTCATACAAATTCAAGTTATGTTGGAATTGAATGTCTTGAAGCGTTCTGATTTTGTGATAAAATTGTGGATTGATTTCAGAGTTAGTGGTATAAGTAGTTAAATATCCATCTCCATTGATATTGGTTTTCAGGTTATAGCCATGGGAATAGAAATTCAAGTTACTTCTTATCTGTGTAAACTTTACACACAAAGTAGTGTAAGTTTCATGGAAGTAAAGTGATAAATTACCTCTTACATGATTACTTACATGAACTTTACACACAAAGTAGTGTAAAGGTGTGATGTCTGCAGGAATTACTCTATTGTTATGTTATATGCACTTTTGCACTGAAACAATTTAGTAGTCCTGTGAAATGCACTGACAGATTTCAAAGTGAGTTCGTAAAATTTTCTAAGAGAATTTGTTAATTGTTTTGATCATGTGGACAAGGTGTCTGACTTCGTATCAGAAGGTCCATGGTTCAGATCCCACCTCAGGATTCAGATATTTTATAGCAGCTACACTGGCGCCCAACATGTCCCTGAGCATGTTCATATTAAGTTTGAGCAAAATAAGGCTCAATATTCTACCATGCAGCCCAGGATGTGCCTTCTGTTGACAGGTTGGTATGTAATAGGGTGTGGAGTCATCCAACAGATGACACTCTTACCTCATCATTCTGCTGACAGGGTTAACCTATTTTGTCATGTGGCAAAGCATCAAACTTTGGATCAGGAGGTCCATGTTTCAGATCCCAGAAGGGGACTTGACTTTTTATGGCACAGCATAAAAGAGCCATTTCGCCACATTTCTCATGTTTCTGTTATATGATTTCTTTCAGCCACATGTGAAGATAAGCTATGTCTGAAAAGCAGCCATATGCACTGGGTATTGACATTGGGACTACATCAGTGAAGGTGTCTGTGCTGGACATAGTGTCACAGGAAACCGTCTGCTCAACCTCCCAGAAGTCAGCAGCAGAAACTGTCAGTGATGTTGGCCATCTTGGATTCGAGCAGGACCCAAACAAAATTCTGCAGGCATTGAGTGAATGCATCACAAAGATCCCAGCCAGCGCCAAAAAGCAAGTTGTTGGGATTGGAGTCACAGGACAGATGCATGGACTCATGTTGTGGAAGAGCGAGGAGGTTACCGAGGCAACTGATCTAAACACAGAGGTAATGTATCACTTTACTTCCATGAAACTTACCTTGAACAGGTTTCTGCTAACCCAAGCTTATTGTAAGTGCCTATTTGGATGAGGCGGTGTTTCACACTAACCAAATTTTATCAATGGTCCAAAGGGCCAGAAGATAGAAAAGTCCTGGTAGATTTGATCTCACAGACACAATGGTGCTGACTTCAAAGATAGAAAAAAATCAGGTAGATCTGATCTAATGACACAAGATAACATAATGGTGATGATGTCAAAAGGTGTAACAAGGTATTATTGTATTTGTATGAGCTGAGTGTTCACTACACTGTACACTGACCAAAATGTATCAGTGGTCCAAAGGGCCAGAGGGGCAGTGGGGTAGCCTAATGGTTAAAGCGTTGGCTCGTCACGCCGAAGACCGTAAAACCAAACTCAGTCAGTCAGTCAGGTTCGAATCCCCACATGGGTACAATGTGTGAAGCCCATTTCTGGTGTCCCCCGCGGTGATATTGCTGGAATATTGCTAAAAGCGGCGTAAAACCAAACTCAGTCAGTCAGCCAAAGGGCCAGAAGGTAGAAAATCCTGATAGACCTGATCTCGTAGTGCTTACTGGAAAAGGTGTAAAATTGCATCAATTTATTGTATTTATAAGCTAAGTGTTTACTACAAAGTATCACTTATTTTCAAATTCGTACAAACTTAAATGAAACTTCCTCCCCAAAATAACACAGGACCACCACATATTTCATCTTGCTGGCCCTTAGGAAAATATGCTAGACTCAGACCAACAGACCTGTGATTGTGTCAAACACTGTGTCCATCCTGTTTCGGGTACAAGTGGCTTGGGTTTTTATCAATGTTATTGTAGCAGGGCATAGAGTCATTCCATTAGACTAACACAATTATTTGCTTATAAATTGAAAAAGAGCCTCAGTGAGAAGGGAGATTCAGAATCTGAGGAATTCTAGACTTGTTTCATTTAAGGGTTTAGCTATGCAGACGGGGATGGGCAGAAGGGAAAATATTGTGGTTCAGGGACGGTGAGACAATCTATCATTCCATAAACCCAGCTATAGTCCGTTTGGCTCAAAAGCGGACAGATGAATTGCAATCTAATTTGAAAGCTAATAAACATAAAAAACTCAATGAAATACTGATCATCTTGAAAACGTCAGACCAACTCTGTGAGGTTTTTGCAAAATTTATGTCCTAAAAATAAAAAGGTTGTTTAACAAACTATCATTAAACTATTGACACAGTTCACTATTTGTTATGAGGGAGGAGTGCAGAGAAAGGGACAGCTGGGTTTGCGAGAAAGACATAAATCCTGCAAACAAATCACAGAGTTGGTCTGATGTTTTGATTATGATCAGCGTTTCATTGAGTATTATATGTTTATTAGTTTTTGAGTTGGATTGCAATTCATCGGTCCGCTTTTGAGCCAAACGGACTATAGGCATGTGTTTGTTTGTTGTTAACACCGCACTTAACAATAGGGGTAGGGGCTCGTCTGCTCACACAGTTAGTTTTGTTTACACTTAAAATCTGCCTGTTGCAACCCTGATATGTGAGGTAAGTAGCGTTTAACGTCAAGTTTCAAAGTGCTAGCTCACTAAGATACCATGCTATCAGATTTACATAGATAGACACTGTGTATTGATTCCAAGCTGCCCCCTAAACAGTCTGCTAAAAGACAAACGCCAGTCTAGGTTTGGTTTGTTTGTTTTTTAACACTGCACTCAGCCATATTCCAGCTGTATGGCAGCATTCTGTAATTAATAGAGTCTGGACCAGACAATCCAGTGATCAACGCTGGGCAGTCATCCACTTGTCTGCCTATTCACTATGTAATTCCTCCCAGGCCTCCCATGACTGGAATAATATGAACTGTCACCTGAATCAGCAATCACTGTTTTAGTTCAAATCCTCTTTGGACTTGAATAACAATGAGATATAATTGCTGGAACATGTCATCAATGCAAACTTAAGTAAAGTAATTTAAGACTGGAGGTTGTCACATAGTTCTTGCATAATCTTCTGTTTATGTGATTTAAACTAAATTCTCCCATTCGTCAGCCTTGATCTGTCATCGTCGTATAATCCATACACATTTGTTTCATGAAAATCACAGACCATACTGTACATGTCTTTGGGCATTCCTCCACGTTTTACCTGTGAAGGTCCGGATTAGAATATTGGCCTTCAGTAACCCATGCTTGTCGTAAGAGGCGACTAATGGGATCGGGTGGTCAGGCTCGCTGACTTGGTTTGACACATGTCATCGTATCCCAGTTGCGTAGATCGATGATGATGCTGTTGATTACTGGATTGTCTGTTCCAGACTCGATTATTTACAGACCGCTGCCATATAGCTGGAATATTGCTGAGTGCGCCGTAAAACTCAACTCACTCACTCTCTCACTCCTCCACATTTATCTGACAAGTCGTGGTGTAACTTAGTCCTGATCAAACTGAGACCCAATAAGAACTGTAATGAAAAAGTGAGCCAAAAATCAAATTGATTTTTGTTTTCATTCTTCAACCACACCAACTTAATTTCACAATTTTGCTTAATGAAAATTATGACTTGAAGACAAACAAGAAAATATTTTTTGGTGGTCATGAGGATTTGTATCAAATACCTTAACCTTACTAAACTAATGTTTAAAAATGTGGCGTCTGAATTAAATTCATGGTGTCCAGGTACTCCAGTGCACTCCCTTGAACATGTTCTGCAAACTCAATGAGGCCTCCTCATACATATGATATCAGTGTGCCATACTCATTAATACTCCTCAACTGTTTAATGTTATGTGGCCCAACACCATCTGACTCCCTCAGTTCTCTTTATATTGTGTTTCAGCATGTAAATCCAGTAGACCCGTTACACCTGACCTTGTGGAAAGTCTGTTTATATACTAGCGGAATAAAGTAACTGTGCATTATTTGATGTTATGCCATATTTTAATGCAAAAAGATAATAACATGATGTGTGGTGTTTTCCTTAATCACTGTTTAACTGTTGACAGGATAAGATCGAAATCTGTATGATTTGACACTAGGCATCGTGACACGCCCTTGAAGAGGTGTGGTGTCAAAAGTCGGTTCACAAATTCAGCATCCTGTGTGTCCACCATTGGTGTTGATGCAGGTTTGACGTAAACATCGCTCCATTTCATCCCAAACATGCTCATTAGGGAACGGGTCCAGAGAACCAGCTGAGTACAGGAATGTTCATCTGTCTAAGGAAATCCGTCACAACACAAACACATGTGGACGGGCAATTTCTTGCTGAAGCGTGAAGTTTTCGACTCTGTACTTGAATGAACGGCTGCACGTGAGGCCCAATAACCTCATCTCTGTATCGCAGTCAGATTGCCACTGACAATGACAAGTTGTGTTGGACCATGAGATGTGATGCTGCCCCATACCATAACGCTTTCGCTACCAAACTGTCGACGTTGAACAACGCACACGTCAGCATACCATTCAGCATCGCCGTCTGTAAACCTTTGCCCTGCCATCTGAGCTGTCGAGAAGAAATCTCAACTCGTCAGTGAACAAAACTCCTTCCCAATCCTGTCTCATGTGCCGTAGATGCTGCCTGCACTAGACAAGACGTGCCTGTCGCTGACGTTGGAACAAAATTGGACGTATTGCAGGCCGTCGGGGCCGGATGTTGTGCTCCTTCAATCACTTCCGTACAGCCCTAGAACTGATCTGACGTAAGCCAGGAATGGTCCGAGCAGTCAAACTGGCAGTCTGGAATCGATTCCTGAGATGGGTCAGCCGAATATGGTTGTCTTGCTGACGTGATGTCACATGTGGATGGCCCGGGCCAAGGCAAATCTTTCGTGTTGCCATAATGTTAAAACGTCTCCATAGAGATGAGATCGTGTTTCGATGGACACCAAAATCTCAGACCTCTTCATTTTGGGCCATTCCAGTCTCCGGCATACCAACGGCGCGAAGCGCTGATTTTCTGTAGGCCGTGGCATGACGTACACTGAATTTAGGTTGAAATTAACAATAATTCAAAGTTTATAGAATAATCAATCGTTCTTCAATTTTCAATATCAGGTGTCAAAAAGCATGCAAAAAGTAAGTTCATTGTGCACAAAGTGCACGTGCCAAGCGCGATATGTGACATCAAATTCCGTGCAAAGTGCTTTGCTACATGTTTATTTTGGGTTATTTTTATAACTCTTCAAATAACTTTTAATTTATTCAATTTTATGTTATGCACAGTTACTTTTTTCCTTTGGTATATGTCAGGTCATCACCAGTCCTCTCTACACATAGATGGACCAGGGCTGCACCCCTGAGTTCCTGGCCACCCTCCCTGCCCCCTTGTCCAGGGGTGGAAATAACTTTAAAATTGCTAGTGTACTCTGGTACAGTGGCACATGTAAAATCACTTGCCCTGATAATTTTTCGACTATACCGGCCGATTTTGTTGTTGATTTTTTAAATAAACAACATAATTAATATTGGCAGATCAACTGGACGCCGGTACAGCGTGATATACAAATTAGCTTGCCCGACAGAAAACAACACTGGACTCGGAAGTCGGGCAATGGGTTATTTCCACCCCTGTTGTCCCACCTACAGCTATCTTGTGTAAAGTCTGTTTATATGTCAGGTCGTCACCACTCCCCTGTACACATGGATGGACCAGTGCTGCACCCCGGAGTTCCTGGCCACCTTCCCTACCCCCTTGTCCAACCTACAGCTACCTTGTGTAAAGTCTGTTTATATGTCAGGTCGTCACCAGTCCCCTGTACACATGGATGGACCAGTGCTGCACCCCGGAGGTCCTGGCCACCTTCCCTACCCCCTTGTCCCACCTACAGCTATCTTGTGTAAAGTCTGTTTACTAGTATATGTCAGGTCGTCACCACTCCCCTGTACACATGGATGGACCAGTGCTGCACCCCGGAGTTCCTGGCCACCTTCCCTACCCCCTTGTCCAACCTACAGCTACCTTGTGTAAAGTCTGTTTATATGTCAGGTCGTCACCAGTCCCCTGTACACATGGATGGACCAGTGCTGCACCCCGGAGTTCCTGGCCACCTTCCCTTCCCCCTTGTCCAACCTACAGCTACCTGTAGAGTAAAGTAAAGTCCATTTATATGTCAGGTCGTCACCAGTCCTCTCTACACATGGATGGACCAGCGCTGCACCCCGGACTTCCTGGCCACCCTCCCTGCTCCCTCGTCCCACCTACAGCTAGCCACGGGGCATGGCTGTGCCACGTTGTTCTGGCTGACTCGACACAAGGGGGAGGTCATCACTGACCGGGGCTACAACTGTAGTGGGTCAGTGATGGACTATGTTGTAGCCAGACTCTGTGGCTTGAAGAACCCAGTCACTTCGGTCCAAGTGGCAGCTAGTATGGGATACTTCAACACAGTGCAGTCATCTTGGAACACAGACATGTCAGTATATAAGTCATGTAAGCCTGAAATCATGTATTTGCACTATTTTTAATACCTCTTCAGTCTGCAATATTTTTAATATATTTTCAGTCTGCGACTTAAGCCATCAGTCTGAAGCCAGAGTCCAGTAAAAGTATCTTGTGATCTAATAAGATATCACAGTCCTAGTCCTTATCCTTATCTAGACAAAAATAATGTATCGTGCGTTTGGCTCAAAAGCGGACCGATGAATTGCAATCTAACTCAAAAACTAATAAACATATAATACTCAATGAAACGCTGATCATAATCAAAACATCAGACCAACTCTGTGATTTGTTTGCAGAATTTAAGTCCTAAAATTAAAAAAGTTGTTTAACAAACTATCATTAAAATATTGACACAGTTCACTATTTGTTACGAGGGGAGGAGTGCAGAGAAAGGGACAGCCAGGTGTTAGAGAAGCACGTGCACAAGTACCGACAAAGTTATTGATTCATCAACCTGTGCTGTGCCGTCTCCATCCTTTCTCGAACACCTGGCTGTCTCTTTCTCTGCACTCCTCCCTCGTAACAAATAGTGCACTGTGTCAATATTTTAATGATAGTTTGTTAAACAACTTTTTTAATTTTAGGACTTAAATTCTGCAAACAAATCACAGAGTTGGTCTGATGTTTTGATTATGATCAGCGTTTCATTGAGTATTTTCTGTTTATTAGTTTTCGAGTTAGATTGCAATTCATCGGTCCGCTTTTGAGCCAAACGGACTATAACTAATGAGAAGATAATTTTCTGGCTGGCTGGCTGGCTGGCCGGCCGACTCAAATGTTTTCAGCACAGACTACCTTATGTAAATATGTTAGGTATTATGCATAGAATCCACAAAATTTCAAGGGGTCTTTACTAGTTCTCGAGTGATTTATCACATAATCAAACCATTGATCTCGCTTGCGTCAGCAATTATCAATGGCTCGGGAAACTAATCATAAAAAAAAGAAACATTGAAATTAAACTTGAGAAAGTTTGTTTCTGCCTGTTATGTATGTTAAATCAAGACATAAACAACTGATGCAGTTTCCTGACTCATAAAACCACAATGTAAGCAACATACTCACATGCGTATCTCACCATGATTCACTGGCAGCGTCATATCAAATGTTGTTGTTCAACTTGTTGTTGGCTTTGCGGAAAATACAAGGACAGGTTGAACTGTTGAGAGGCATTCTAGAAGTTCCCTGAGTACTATGAACATAATTGTACATCCGTCAGTATGCAATACATATATTCTGTGCTCATTCTATACGGTTGTGCATAGGACATACATTTTTGCATCCTGTAAAACACTGTCTCATACCGTAAATCATATTTTTTTTCAGATATACAAAGGAATATGAATGATGCCTGCAGTGTATGAGCTTCTTCATCTCAACTGACAGTAGGTTTTGTTTCAATTTGTCAGACTGTCTGAGAATGGCTTCCCGACTGACCTGTTGGCGAAGGTCGTGCCGGCAGGGGCAGTAGCTGGTCAGCTGCAGCATCCATGGCTGGGCATCCTGCCACACATCCCAGTCTATGCCGCCCTGGGGGACGTGCAGTGTGCCTTTCTGTCCATCCTCCAAGACCCTGCCGATGCAGGTAATGATAAATGTTGGTGTCTCAGAAATACGATGGAACACTTGTAGCTATGTATTTTGTTTAATTATTTGTGCGTGAGTTATTTTGCATGATAATCATTTTCTGTATTGCTGCAATCTTTTCAGTCCTCAACCTGAGCACGTCAATTCAAATGGGCTATGTTGTCAAGGGAGACAACTCTGTGAGGTCTGACTGTCTGAAGGAGAAGCCCTGTACTCTTGATTACTTTCCTTACTTCGGTGACGAGTACCTCGCCCTAAGTGCTGGTCTGAATGGAGGCAACGTACTGCAACACTTTATGTCAATGCTGCAGGGATGGTGCTCGGAGTTTGGTAGGTCTGCTTGTGCGACTTTATTCATACTTAGGGGGTCCCTAGTATGGTGATCTACCTTCAGCTGCTGGTGATCCATAGCCCGCTTTTATATTTTATTGTTCTCTATAATAATCTCGTTTTATGATTACATGCTAGTTTTAACTTATCTGTGATCTCTAGTATTTTTACTGTTCATCATCAACAAGTTTATGATTTCTAAATTTATTGATGTTTACTATGATAATTGATTGTTCTCGTCACTGGCTGAAATATTGCCGATGTGAGGGTAAATATTAACTCACTCACTCATACTTATGGGATTGTCACCTTGCCTGGCACCCGTGAAGGTACGGGTTAGAACTGATCTTCACCAACCCATGATTGTCGTAAGACACAACTAACAGGATCTGGTGGTCAGGCTCGCTGACTTGATTGACACACGTCATCATATCGAGTAGATTGATGCGCATGCTGTTGATCACTGGATTGTCTCATCCAGACTCAATTATTTACAGACCGGTACCATATAGCTGGAATATTGCTGAGTGTGGAGTTACACAACAAACAAACCACACCTACCCTGGCGTTTAAGGACTGTCTGGCTTGGAATCAATACAAAGGTGTCTGAGTGGCATATCCATGTAAATCTGATAGCATGGTATCTCAGAGAGCTAGCACTCTTAGACTGGATGTTAAACCCTTTTTCACCCCCCACATCAGAGGCACAGCTGGGAAGTGTAAACAAAGCCAATTGTGCGAGCAGACGAGCCCACCAGAATAATTATAAATCAGATGCTCTTGAACACTATTTCCAGCATTCAGGACCCTTTATATTAGCTTTTATTCAATACAAATATTGGTAAATTGTTTGTGATAATTTTGTTTTAGTAATGTAAATATGGCAATACCACCAACACATTTTCTATCATTTATGAGCCATCTACCACTGAAATCCTAAAGCGTGTAAAGATTACACAAGAAAGTCATGTTTGATCATCTAGAACCTGAAAATGTAATGTAAATATTGGTGGTAAATTGAGGTTTACTTATTTTTTTAAATATTGCCTTTTCTTAGGTGTAAAAATCTGTTTTAGGTGACAGCCATTGCTTTTCTGCTACAATGGTAGTTTTGTGCCTGCATATGGAGGAACTTCGGTGTCCCAGTTGCATGATTCGACGTGCCAGGCTGTGTTCCTTAAGCTTGCCAAAACACTGTGAAAGTGGAAATTCTGCTTTTATTGTACTATAGGTCTGGCAGCAACATAGTTAAAAGTTTCAGCTGTCTGTCGCCTGCATCACTTCTTACATCAATCTGACACGCTGTGATATGACTAAACTCGTGTTCAAATAGTATGGGGGCTGTGGGGTAGCCTTGTGGTTAATGTGTTCGCTTGTCACGCCGAAAACCTGGGTTTGATTCCCTACATAGGTACAATGTGTGAAGCCCATTTCTGGTGTCCTCCGCTGTGATATTGCTGGAATATTGCTAAAAGCATCATAAAACCCAGCTCACTCACTAACACACGGATGCAAGGGTTCAAATCATCAAACCATAATTCACAGTGCAGAGTTGCCTCCCTTGAGCATAATAGAAAGGTATGATTTTGGTTCAGAATCCCAGCCCGGCTGATATGGTTTCAAGGTTAGTCAGCACCATACCTATATCTAAACCTCTAAGACCTACATCCCTTTAACCTCACTCTGCTCTCCCATTTAGTCTATTATATGTTTCTTAGCATAATGATAAAATGGCCAAAGTTTCCACATCTGGTGAGGAATGAAAAAACCTTTTGTTCGATCTTTAATTTATTGCCCAGTTCCCCGTTCCTCAATGCGATCATAGTGCTACGACAGTCGTAAGTCTATATTAAAGTATGGGAGTTACGATGATCTTAGCACTACGACCGTTTTGTGGAACGGGACCCAGGTCCTTTGTGAAAAAAAAGTATTTATATGAATTCCAGTCATGAACTGTGCAGGTTTGAGTCTTTTTTAAAGTTATAACAGCTGATTGTTTTTTCAAAACATGTCCTACTTTATGTTAGTTTCATTTCGTCACTTTGTGTGGGATATCTGACTAGGTTTTGTAATGGTATGACACTGTGGTATTGCCAGGTAAACCCTTAGCAATGTGATGTCAGATACTATGAAGGGCAACTACTCTGGTGGGTGGATCACACACTCCATACAGTGATGACGGTGCATTATACAAGCTTGACAGCAAGGATAACAATGATGAGGAGTTTGGTTTAATGCTGCTATGAACAGTATTCAAGTTATACCATGGTGTGTCATTTGGATGACGACAGTAAAGCAAGCCTCAGACATCTTCCATCTCATGGAATGAGCATGGGTATGGTGCTGCCGTGGTGTGTCGCCTAAGGAAAGCTTGGAATGATATACAGTCAAATCCCGATGATTCAAATGCCGGTGTCTCGAATATTATTCATAACTCGAAGTACCTGTCGGTCCCGACCATTCCCTGTTATAGTTGTCATCATTTGAATACCGGTTACACGAATTCGTCTCATAAATACACACGATGACTCGAGAAGGAAATTTTGTCCCATGAGATTCAAACAACAGCAATCTTGTATACATAAGCCGAAGTCAGTCATTGAGAAGTTGATTGGTGTAGCAAACTGATCCAATTAACAAACCAGCGCGGCTCACACCTTCCCGCCATTGACGGGGTGAGTTCAAAAGGCAGATTAGTGATTTTACGGAAATCACTGTCTGTGCTAATCAGACTGGAACTGATAAGGTGCCCCTATTAGTGATATGGAAATCATTAGATAAACAAAAGCTTAGGCGGAGGAATTAGGACTGGATCATCTTTTTTCTACCCTCATAGACATACCTATGTCTCGAATACATCGATAAGTCGAATTTATTACTTGGTCCCCAGCGATTCGACTCATCGGGATTTGACTGTAGTTTGTAGATTCTGATGTAGCAATGGCAGTATGTAAAATACACAATTATGCTAACAACAGACCTGTTCTCCCTGCAGGATTTGCTTTGTCGGAAGCTGACATGTGGGCTAAGCTCAATGACACTGCTTTGAAATCAGAAAGGAGCAGCTTGTCCATTACACCAACCCTGTACGGAGAGCGCCATCAACCTTCCCTGAAAGCAAGCATTACAGGAATAACCAGCAGTAATACCTCCCTTGGTGAGGTGTACAGAGGCCTGTGTGATTCTATCATAGACAATCTACATACACTGATGCCAGCTCAGTTTTTGACAGAATTGGGCCATGTGAAACGGATTCTGGCAAGTGGGTCAGTTATTACCAATAACCCAATTGTTCAATCCAGACTGGAGCTGGTGTATAAGGGTATTCCTATTGTGTATGGACAGTCAGGTGATTCAGCCATAGGAGCTGCCAAGATTGTCAAACACTGATTTTATGTATAATTAGGGGTGGGTATTGCAGGGAATTTTCATATTGCGATATATTGTGATACGAAAGCATGTATTGCGATATGTATTGCAATATATTGCAAGAAGTTTTTTTTTTAACAAAAAACTACTTATAGTCGAGTTAATGATTTATTTAGAAAGTAAAACACAACAAAATCACAATGCTTGATTAGGCTTTAATAAAAAGTTTTAATCATGACAAAATAAAAATGTAAATAATGTTTGGCACAAATGAAACAAGGAAAGGAACAATTTAAAAACAGAAATATCCGAAGATTTCCGAGTGTTACGAAGTTTTCCGATTGCATACCGGTTTTCGATCAGCGTATCGCAATACGTATCGTTTTCATGTCTGAACCGGTAAATACCGGTAAACCGGTTATATTGCACAGCCCTATATATAATGAATAAAGATTACAAATATATCTATTTTGTTCATACTTATCACATGAACATGCCCTGCTCGGAGGCAAGATTTTGGAGTTCTGTTACATGTGTTTACCTGACAGATACCAACCCTGGTGTGACTCAGTCATTATAGATGTCTGCCTTGATTGGGCTCCATCCTTACAGACACCAGTGCTAGTGGGTATCAGCCCTGACATATGATATCGCTGATGGGCCAGCGATCTGAGAATAACAGTTGAGGTGGAACTTCTACCCTTGGGACACTGGTCCTGACACTCTGAGATACCACCTTCAGAAAGACCATACTATTATCCCTCCATCCTGACAAATGCTGGTGGGAATCAACCTGTGAGACATCAGTTATGGTGGCACTCCACCCTGACATTTGTCATTTCAGTGTGACTCTGTCCTGACACACTCAGGTCGCTTTGAGACTTCATTGTGACAAGCACGAATCATAATGTGACTTGAGAGACATGCTAACAGACTCCAAACCTGGTGTGGGTCCACCCTTAAGGACACTGAACCTGGTGTGGGTCCACCCTGACAGCTTCCAATTCAGGTGTGGGGCCACCCATACAGACACTGAACCTGGTGTGGGCCCACCCTTACAGACTCCAAACCTGGTGTGGGTCCACCCTTAAGGACACTGAACCTGGTGTGGGTCCACCCTGACAGCTTCCAATTCAGGTGTGGGGCCACCCATACAGACACTGAACCTGGTGTGGGCCCACCCTTACAGACTCCAAACCTGGTGTGGGTCCACCCTTAAGGACACTGAACCTGGTGTGGGCCCACCCTTACAGACTCCAAACCTGGTGTGGGTCCACCCATACAGACACTGAACCTGGTGTGGGCCCACCCTTACAGACTCCAAACCTGGTGTGGGTCCACCCTTACAGACTCCAAACCTGGTGTGGGTCCACCCTTAAGGACACTGAACCTGGTGTGGGTCCACCCTGACAGCTTCCAATTCAGGTGTGGGGCCACCCATACAGACACTGAACCTGGTGTGGGCCCACCCTTACAGACTCCAAACCTGGTGTGGGTCCACCCTTAAGGACACTGAACCTGGTGTGGGCCCACCCTTACAGACTCCAAACCTGGTGTGGATCCACCCATACAGACACTGAACCTGGTGTGGGCCCACCCTTACAGACTCCAAACCTGGTGTGGGTCCACCCTTACAGACTCCAAACCTGGTGTGGGTCCACCCTTAAGGACACTGAACCTGGTGTGGGCCCACCCTTACAGACATCAGAGACCATATAATAGAAACCAAACCTGGTGTGGGCCCACCCTTAAGGACACTGATCCTGGAGTGGATCCACCCTTACAGTTGCCTATACTGCTATGACTGCATACTGACAGACACCAGACCTTGTTGGCCTTCATCCTGATGGACAATTGTACTGAGCCGTCTACAATCGCATTGGGATAGATCAGACCGCGCTGTGATGAGCGATTAAATATCAAAACACAAAACACATATAGTTACCTTTCTTCCACGAATATTAATGGGATAAGATACGTCAAAGTTTATTCATTATAACTCAGGGCGGTTACTAGTATATATAAATTGCTACCGGAATATTTCTACGTTGATCATGTGCTTATGAAGGGTCAGCTAAACGATGAACAAAGAATATTATATATTTTTTCCTGAATGATATTGTGAAATGTGATCCCAGTGTATTCAGTTCAAGCTGCTGCCCATGAAAACACAGGTGTCATATCTGCATCACACATCTATACACAGGTATTGAAAACTGTTGATTAAAAACATAACTACACGAGAAAGCATTTTCATACCTGAAACTCAGTCCTGTGTCAAAGTCACCAGGACAGGTGAGTGTTTGTATGTAAATACAGTGTAGCTAAATCAAACCATTAACAGCTCTGTACACAGGACGGCAACGAAGTCGTGACTTGACTAGAACTACAGCTCACATACGGCAACTGAATATAATATACTCCCCATCAAAAGTTTAGACTCAAAATAAATTTTGCCAAACTGTCCATACTATTTAAAGGTACTGTTTACACATGAACTGATGTATTGTAAAACACATGTGTAACGCTGAAAAGCTGTCACGAGTTTAAGAAATGATGAAACTCAGTGAAAATTGACGAATTCGTAACAAAACTTTACACCAAAACGCAGCTGTTCACATGCATGAAATGTGCACATGATTTACAGCAATTTGATGCATGATCTTCGTGCAGTTCATCTGCATAAGGTTTTGTGTTGGTTCCCCCAAGTTAGTGGAGAAGTTCATCTTCGATGTAACCATACATATATACATAACATATAGTGAGTGCTTTGAGCGAGTCTAAACTTTTGATGGGTAGTATAGCTTTGTGCAAAGTCTGCAGATCGTTTCCAATGTTTACATTTGGAATGCTGGCTGCAGTTTAACAAACCATGTATCGATTCAGGATGTGAATGAGAACATTTGCATGATTAATTGAACATTTGTACATTCCTGGGAGACTCCGTTTGAACATCTCCAGATTGGATTGACTCCACACGATTCCGTACAAATATCCTCAGTAACCTGGCTGAATGTTTTTTTCTATGTCAGGAATAACATGGTCGGACTTGAAAGAATGGGGTTGTACTTTAAAAAGCAGTATCACACGCTCACTGATCATGCTTTAAGTCATTTGTTGTACACACGAAGTTGTCTCTGTTGTATGCTGTTCATGTGACTTCTCGTATAGACTCAATGAGGGAAAAGCAATAATCCTTTTTCAAATTCATAGGAGATCTGACACGTGAAGATCTGGGTTACAACTGATCTTCAGTAACCCATGCTTGTCGTAAGAGGCGACTAACGGGAACGGGTGGTCGGGCTCGCTGACTTGGTTGCCTTTGGAGCATATCTGGGATATCATTGGTCGTCGCGTGCAACCAAGGGATCCTCCTGTACAGAACCTAGCCCACTTTGGAGCTGCTTTACACGAGGGATGGCGTAGACTGACCCTTCCGAGGATGAGGAAGCTGACGGGGGATATGCGGAGGAGAGTGCTGGCTGTCATATAGTCACATGGAGGTTACACTTGGTATTGACCTTGAATCGTGTAAGACACGCAAAATGATATTTTGAATGTTCACATCCACCAATAAATTCAACATTAAACATTCCAGGGCCATATTTGTACAGACATGGTTTTGTATGAAAATCAATGTTTTTGGGGGGTTTTCAAAGGCATAATTATCATCATAAAATCAACATGGATTCCAATCATTTTGTCGTTTTTTTATGAGTCAAAAGATCATACAGGTCAGAAAAACTAATGTTTTTTCCATTATGGTCACCACGAGAAGATTTATGTACGTGTTGAAAACTTATCATTGCAAAAATACAGGGGGTGCTTAATTAAGTTTTTTATGTACAGATGAAGATGCGGGAGCATTGTTCGACATGAAGGTAAAGTTGCAAATTAGCAAGCTGAAAACGCCCCTCTTGATATGCAGTCCTGTTGAGAGTGTTTGTCTATCTGAATCAAACACTACCACATACTTCGAAACACAAACTGTTTAGTCTGCTTCCCAGTTAGGGCTGCAACGATTCACCCAGACCTCGATTCGATTCGATTGTCGATATTGTTCGATTCGAACATATTAGATTATTTTCGATTCGATTCTCCACACAAGTAAAAACACCAGATTTCATGTAACTCTCAGAGTTTATTAAACAAAACATATCACATTGGAAACTTTTTCAACGATTTAACCAGGAAATCAGGGATGTTAATGATTTAAACTTTTCCAATCAAATATACATACATACTAACATTTGTATAGCGCCGATAACCAGCTTAGCTGCTCAAAGGTGCTTTGTTTTTCCCTCGATCACTGGATGTCAATCTGAAAGGCACGTCGTATTATAAATATACAACTCTTGCTGCCACTGAGCGCACCGAGCTATTGTGGCTTTCTCATCCTAACAAGATACCCATTCACAGCTGGGTGGATTGGGACACATAGTCACAGTGCTTTGTCCAAGTTCACTGCACGTTGCTGTACTCGCAACTAGGTGTTTGCACGTATTCCTGTGGCCACCATCTGGTCATATACCAACGGATTCGTGGGTTCTTTTACGTGCACAGGGTTGGGTACTGTACGCTAGGGGTTGTGACAACACTGAAAGAGTCTGCACACAAAGTTGACTCCAAGGTTTTTACACCTGGTCACAGGTGGGCTCGATCCCGACACCTCAAACTCGTTGGATCACTAGCCTGGCCCTTTAGCCAGCTCGCCCACTGCGCCCCCATATGTTTAAACACAGAACAACACTCCAATATTGAATTGAAATAGTGATAATGGTTATCGGAACTAAAGTGTCAGATTCGATTTTCGATGAATCGAACCGAATCGTTCAGCCCTTTTCCAAGTCCCTGATTATTTTCCCTTCTGACGAACCCGAAGCAGGTCTAGATTTTCCTGAGGTTCACCTAATTAGAAACTCCTCTTCAATTTTAATTGAGTTAATTGTTTTCATCACAACTGTAAATCTTCAGAGACCTTGCGTTGCGTTAGTCCTCGACTTGTCTGGTAGGTGTCTTGCTACTTGTCTGGTAGGTGTCTTGCAACTTGTCTGGTAGGTGTCTTGCTACTTGTCTGGTAGGTGTCTTCCCAGGAAGCCAAATGTTTTTGGCGTGTAAAAACATGGGCCGTTTTTCGTTTTCGCCTTCATGCGAAAAGGGTGGAAATTTGCAACAATGGGTGCGGGTGTTTATACAAAAGCCTTAATCCCAGAGGAAGGCGATAACTATAAGACGTTCATGTTCATTTTATTCATACAAATGTACAAAATAACAGTGTATCATTTTACCGTGTTTCACCTTCGTGCGAAAAGCTAAAACTAAAAAGTCGCCTTCTTGCGAGTAAACCGTCTGGTAACTGGTTAATCTGTATCACAGTCCCTGAACCACATTATTTTCCCTACACCCTAGCCCACTCTGCATTGCTAAAGCCCTAAATGAAGCAAGTCTAGATTTCCTCCGAATCTCTTGTCTCCCTGGGGCTCCTTGTCAATTTAGAGCGGAAGGTCGCGGGTTCGATCCCCGACGGCGTCATACCAAAAGACGTTAAAATATGGTACTTGTTGGTCCCTGCCTTGCGCTCGGCATTAATGGGTACAACAAGTACTGGTCGGCTCGGAGTCAGTATAATGTGTTTGAGTGGGGTATTCATGCTTCACTGCAGCATGTTATCTCAGTGGGCTAGCACTATAAAACCAGCTTAAGTCTGGGCTAGTACAAGCAGCCGCACATACACATACACACGCATGCACGTCGTCATATGAGCGAAATATTCTCAAGCACGACGTTAAACCCAATTTCACCTCACCTCACCTTGTCAATTTAAATGGGTTTGTTTGTTACTATCAAAACTATGTCTGTATATATTCATAGACTAAGCATTGGTCTAGGTGACTGGTATCCTGCGTAGTCTGCTCACGTATGCAGCATGTATCATCCTTCTGTGATACTCAAAATGACAGCTGTCAGTATGCTAGGCTGTCTGTATGTTTTTCTGTGTTTCTCATTTCCCGATGCATTTTCATCCCAACGTGAAAAGATACAAACCATTCTTTGGATCGACGATCCGGGTCCGAATCTCCACATGGGTACAATGTGTTAAGCCCATTTCTAGTGCCCCCTCCCGTGATATGCTGGAATGTTGTTAAAAGCGTAATACTATGCTCACCTTCTTCATTTATATACCTATAAACAGTGCTTCCGAACAAAGCGACTCGATCTGTAGAGACTATTACCAAGTCATTGATCCCCAGTTTATGATTTCACGAAATAATTTACGCAATTAGTGACAAACTTTGTGTTATTTTCGCCCGCCTCCTGCTTGTTGAGGTTTGAGATGAGAAACACATAAAAACCATGGATGGCTTTGCAGTGCATACATGGTTAGCATGCAAGGTTTGTACACCGCCCTGCCACACTTCTGCAGCAGTGAAGCCACACCATGTGTATTAATGGACCTCTGATGGTACAATACGGATCGCGGACACCAACACGGAGACAAGGTTGAGTCTCACCAAAAGGTGATCAGTTAAGTGGCATCTTGAGATCCATCTGATATTGTGATGTTCAGATATATTTGAACATTTTCCTGACTGGCTTGAGGGACAGTGTTGGCGGTTTTTATGACTTCTGTGGCTGAGTTCAGGATCAGACTGACCAGAGGCTGATTTTGTTTTTGTCCATCATTGCTCTGATTCAATATATGTTTCTTGACACGAAATAGGTAATTCCTGCAGAAACGTATGTTGTATATGATCAGGAGTACGCCTGACAGTAAAGACGGCACCGAAGGACAGACATAGCTGAAGACCGTTCGTCAGACCGGAATTCAATACAAGACAAGGATAGTCCGTATCTGCAATGCCTCTAGACAGACGCCTAGCTCTGGGAATCGACCTTGGAACGTCATGCGTCAAGCTGAGTTTGATAGACATCCTTACAGAAGAACAGGAGTTCGCAGTGTCCCGTCCCCTCCAAGGCATGCGTGGAGAGCGATGTGGGTTGCCTCGGGTTTGAGCAGTCTCCGGCGACCATCCTCAGCACCCTGGAGGAGTGTATGCAGGAGTTGACCAGCAGTCAGCAGATGAGGGTGGCGGGGATCGCCGTGACGGGGCAAGGAACCGGACTCATCATGTGGCCCGGGGGGCTCGGGTGTGGCATCCGCCAGGAAACTGGGCAACTGACTGCAGGTGAAGTATCTCTGGGGCGGTCCTCAGTGAGTGAGTGAGGGAGTATGGTTTGATGCCGCTTTAGCAATATTCCAGCAATATCACGGCGGGGAACACCAGAAATGGTGTTCACACATTGTGCCTATATTTGGGGAATCGAACCTGGATCTTCAGCGTGATGAGCGGAGGTTTTAACTAGTAGGCTATCCCACCGCCCCGGGACGGTCCTGGTGTATTTCCTCGGCTTTTAAAATGGATATGTATCTTGTCCAAACATTAAATTACTTAGGTCTAGCGAAATGGGCGATATGGTTGATACTGTGCAAAAGCACACTTTTGGACAGGATGAAAAAAAGCATCCATATGACACATACGCCACTCATCAGTCAGTGTTTGATGCTGTTCGAAACATTATATCCTTCTTCGGAGTGATACTCGGCGTTATTAGCCAAACATCTGTGGAGATGATGTGAAGGATCTATGTCTTGCTTAGAATGTCCTCAAAATTTGTTGTTGTTTAAAGCTCCACTCAGAAATATTCCAGCTATATGGCGCCGGTCTGTAAATAAGCAAGTCTGGACCAGACAATCCAGCAATTGACATCATAAGATTTGTTCTACGCAATTGGGACACGATGACATGCGTCAACCAAGTCAGGGACCCTGACCACCCGATCCCGTTAGTCTCCTCTAACAAGCATGGGTTCCATAAGACCAATTCTCACCCGGATCTTCACGGATTCCGCAAAATATATTGGCAATATAAATTAAAAATAATAGTTTCTGTAAACACTGCGGTGGTTTGGATCGCTGATTTGTGTGGTGAATTAGGCGTCTTACTCTAAGAACGTGAAAAGGCACAAATGCCAGACTCGCCTCTACCCAAACAACACAGGAACGTGTACTATACTAACAAAGAGAATACCAAATATAACATACGCTACATCTGACCACTTTCAAAGAAGGGCGTTGTGCATTGATGAAGACGTAACAATTCCTCTTTCGATCCAGGCAGTTGCAGCAACCTGTATACTTGGATGGACAGACGCTGTACTCCCGAGTTTGTATCGTCCCTGCCGACACCAGACTCCAGAATACCAATCAAAGTAGGCATGGGCTGGGTGACGCTGCAGTGGATACTAAAGCATCGTCCAGGACTGATAGAGGAGAATGGTTACGACTGCGCGGGGACGATAGTCGATTACGTGGTAGCTGGCTTGTGTAATAACAAGACATCTATAACATCTGAGCTACTAGCCTACAGCTTTGGATACTTCAACACCAAATCTGTGTCCTGGAACACAGACATGTGAGTGGAAAACACATTCTCTGTCACGATGTATTTCAGATTAGCCGAGGCTGGCTTTCCTGTTCACATGCTACCCTCGCTCGTTCCGAGCGGTACTGTAGTCGGGCACCTGCCCCGACCCTGGGGCCACATACAGGAAGGGGTGCCAGTATATGTGGTTACGATGGACACCCAGTGTGCGGTCCACTCGGTACGACCCGGCGAGCACGATGCAGGTGAGGCAGAGGAGAATATTTATTTCTCTATGTCGTTTATTACCTGTGTTTATTTATTGAAGTTACTTTCTGTAATAAATATCTACTTCCATTTTCAAATGTACATATTTTTACTTCATGTGCAGAAATTATTTTCTGCACAGATCGGTTCAGCTTGTATTATAATATGACTGAATGTGTCGATAGGTTATTGCTAACGTGTACTTGTCACACAGAGGACCTGGGATCGATTCCCCTCTTGGCTACATCATTTAATTCCCATTTCTTTTGCTTCCCATCTTGATATAAATCGAATATTTCTAAAGGCGGCATTAACATATGCGCATTCAGTACCAGATTTATAGAATGAACGTTCCTAAAACATCACTAAAAACCAAAAATATAACCAACTTTCGGCACTGGCACCGAGTCTGACTACCCGATCCATTTGGTTACCACTCACGCCTTGTATAGGTTGCGTTGGATCCGAACTCTTGCTGACTGACTCCTGCCAAATGAACTCAATCTTTGAGTATACTTTCATGAACGTATATCATTTTCTAGTGTTCTATATCGGAACGTCTTCTCAGCTGGGCTATGTCATTACTGACCCCGACTTCGACCCCAGCAAGCGTCCTCCAGACACGCCCCCAACCCTAGAATATCAGCCCTACTTCCACGGAGGACTCTATGCATCGTGTAACGGGCTGGACGGGGGCAATGTATTGGAGTGCTTCGTCAGGATGCTTTACAGCTGGTTTCAGGACTTTGGGTAGGTTATTCTACTGATCTGGATATATAGATTCGGTATGATATCATGGAGTGGAATGTATGTACAAGCATCTGAGTTCATTCCATGTGAATCCACGGACAGAAATCATACGAGGTTAAACAGCGTTGATCGTGGTGTGTAAATAAGTTCCTTCGAGTTTCTAGGGCCTCTGGCCTGACTCACACTCCATTGTAATGTCTCCATTGGTATGTTTCTCTGGTCGAATTATACCTCTGTTCAGTTAATGGTAAATGAGTACCATTTAAACGTGATTGTTTCTCAGAACATGGCTCAGTTTGTTAACAACGAGGAGTGTGAATGAAATTCGCGAGCATACGTATGCTTTATACGGGTAAAAATGGATCACCTTAAGTCATCATTGCCGTGAATCGTTACATAAAACATTAGCCAGCTTCTTTATGTACGGGGGTGGTGGGGTAGCCTAAATGTTAAAGTGTCCGCTTGTCATGCTGAAGACCCGGGTTCGATTCCCGACATGGGTACAAAGTGGTAAGCCCATTTCTGGTGTGATCGTGTTATTGTGTGATATCCTGACACATTTGATATGTATAAGAAAAAACAATTTTACGTCTTCAGGTGTAACCATCGATGAGGAAACTATATGGAAAACTGCCTCAACTCGCCCTTGATGCAGAAAACACCGACCTAGAAATAGACCCCAGACTGTTCGGATCATATTTCCAACCTTCACCTTCCTGCAGCGTAAGGGGGGATAACCCCCGACAACATAACTCTAGGTCAGTTTTTCAAGTCACTCTGCTTCGGTGTTGTAGATGAAATCAAAAGTCTCATGGATCCTAAGTACCTCAAGGGGAGGGGAATCACCACGATACACACTGTTGGCCAGGTTACAGCAAGTATACCATCTATCATCGAACGCCTTCGCGAGTTGTACGACGTCACCGTTGTTGTTCACGACACTGAGTGTAGTTCTTCTGTTGGAGCTGCCCTTGTGGTGAAGCAGTGAGTTTACGTTTCTTCAACAATATTTCAGCAATATCACAACGGGGGACAACAGAAAGTACCCACGTATGGAATCGAACCCGGGCCTTCGGCGTGACGAGCGAATGCTCTAACCATTAGGCTACCCCAGCGCCCAATATTATCGAGGAAACCCGCAAGGCTCAGACGTTTTCATTCACGTGTTCAAGATAATCTTTTCTTTAGTGTTATATATGATCGATTCGGGTTAGAATCTGGACTTGTGTCTTTGTACCAACACTAATACTGGTTAATTACCCGATGTTACTATGTACGCCCCTGTGTTGAATTAGTCTCAGCTCTATGCCACTAGTTTGCCTAATGTGTAAAGTAACAGAAAAGTGTTTGTGTATTTGTAGAAATTCCAACATCAAATCAGATTGTTGAATTACACACTCACTTTGCACCAAAACTATATTATCTGTCAGCCATACATTCAATATTCCTGCAAATGATCACCAAAAATAGAAAAGATGGGTCAATCTTGTATTGCCTGCGACTGTTTTCCAAAGGCTTCACCGCTATGATCTGAATGGAGATATAAACAAAAGAGTTTCAATACAGTAACACATTGTACAGTGTTTAGACCTCAGTCTTGCGCTATCCTCCAATTGTGTCTGGGTGAGGGAATTGTTTCTGTCGTATTAATTTGTTTTCTTTTGTTGAATGCTATACTGAGCAATATGCTCTACGACACTAAGCACTATTTCTCCAGCTAAAAGTAGGTGATATTAAAAATAAAACATGGTCACAGAAATACAAAGAGGTATTATGAGGTTGTAAAATATGGATGAGAAAAAACAGTACTGGGTGTAATGTGAGTAAATTGTCACTTTTAGCAGTATTCTAAATATATCAATGCAGGGGACGTCAGACACCGGACTGACTAAAAGTGGACGATACACATAATAAATTGAAAGTGAATTGTATGGGTGACGATTTCTATAGATCAGTTTGTTTACCTAATGTATAATAAAAATGAAAGCATTATTAGAAATGTTTCAATGTATTTACATCATGCAATGAATTTGAGAACTTCTATATTATTCCCACACACATGAATCGTTGTACCAATATATTACTACACATATGAATATGAATATTTTACGCATGCGCAATATGCTATTATATTGTATATGCATTCTATGTTTTAATAGGCCGTTGTCCTGAATATCAACTGAAATAAAGCAATTCGTATGCGTGACAACAACGGAAAACACGAGATATGTGTGAATATTTGTTCCAAAAGTTGTCCTGTAAGGGCAGATTTCGAAAAAGCTGGTTTGGGCATATGTCGTTGACCCAGGCGCCTTCTGTGCACCTTTTCTGCGTGCAGAAATCTTTCCTAAAATCTGAAAATCACAGAAAGAAACACATTCAACAAAAATGTTGACCACCTCTTTCTCTTTCTAAGTTCTTCAAACCACAGAACAAAAGACATTCAACATAATTGTTGGCCACCCCTCGCTGAGTTCTTCAAGTCTGCAAATTACAGAACGAAACGCTATCAACATAAATGTTGCCACCTGTGACAGTGTTTAACCAGGTTGAATCAAGACTGACATTGCCCAACCTGATCAAAAGAACTGCAGCTAAGCTGGAGCAGAGAGCTTATGTGTTACTGTGTTAGTCAAACTATATATAATACCAGTTGCTCAGAGCGGTTTCACGACCTTTCACTGGAATGTCAAAATCCAAAATGACCTCTACCCACGTGCACATATTAGTTGCATGTGCCAAGTCCAATGTTGTGGATGAATTGGGGCGGTAGGTTTGATTTGGAAACTTTTTTTGTAATTGGCTGCTGTTTGTAATTGGCTCCTGACGCCCATCCATAGCATTTATCTCTTTGTTTGGTCTGTAGAAAATATAAACCGCAAAAAGACCCAGAACTATGTTTAAATGCCACACCCATGATGGTTGTAAAAGAGGCCAAGTTCCTGGGACTTTTTTAACTCTCATCTGACTTTCATACCACATATTAAATCACTGGGTACGTTCCAAACTTGATTATGGCTTCATCGTATATGGTGGAGCCTGCAAAAGCAACCTTTACAATTCTTGATTCTGTCCACCACCAAGGTCTAAGATTTTGTTTTGGATCCTTTAGAACTTCTCCTGTTGACAGTCTCTACGTCGAGGTAGATGAGCCATCGCTTACACAACGCCGTATAAAACTATCTTTACAATATATTACCAAACTGTACTCAAATCTAACCCTGCATATAAGTGTGTTTTCAATCCCCTCTATGAGGATCTATACAACAAGAAATATTCTCTTGCTCCGCCTCTTGGGCTCAGAATAAATCCATTCCTTTCTTCTGCCGGCATTGAGCTGGAAAATATAACTCCTTCCGGTCTTCTTCTTCTCCTCCTTGGCAATTAGTAAGGCCACTAAGTTGCCCTGACAAAGTTTTTAAAAAATCCAAAACTAATGAATTACAATATAAACAAGAATTTAATCAATTAAAAGTAAATATAATACATACAAATATGTATTTACAGATGGATCCAAGGATGGTGGTGCAGTTGATTGTGCCACTGTCATTGGATCCAGAACAATAGCTTCTCGACTACCAGATCACAGCTCATTTTTCACAGCCGAAGCAAACGCTATATTAACAGCCTTAAAATATATTAATAAACACCCCAAATATAAACATATATAACTTATTCAGACTCTCTTTTGTGCCTATTAAAATTCTTTCTTGCAAACATCCACTTTTAATTGAAATTAATGAATTTTATAATCATCTTCTGTTGGTTACCCAGCCAAGATGGAATTTCTGGTAACACAATGGCCGATTTTGCTGCCAAGTCAGCACTCAACAAATCTGTGACACCAATTCTCATTCCATACTCTGATTGCAAAGCTTATATCCGTGATATAATGCAAAAGAGGTGGGACACTTAAGTAGGTATAAATACATTCCATGAAATTAAACCAACTATCGGTTACAAATACTTGGGGTGTCTGTCAAGATTTGACGAGGTCATCATGCGACGATGTCGTATTGGCCACAGCAGATATACTCATGGGTATTTGTTAATAGGTGAGGATCCTCCATTTTGCATCCCTTGTGATGAAAGAATCATGGCCAAGCATGTCTTGATTGACAGCATTGATTTTTCAACCACAAGGGATCGATATTTCACAGTTTCATCCTTAAAGGATCTTTTAATCCCTTATTAAATTCTTTTTTTTTTTAAGGAAATTGATTTGATTCATAAATTGTGATCATGTACTGTAATTATTAACTATTTTGACATTTGGTCGAATGAATACATAACTATGAATGTTGGTGGCTGTACCCTCGGAGGGGATTGAATTAGCGTAAAATAATTGTCCTCCGAAGAGGGTATTTAACCCCACATCATTCAATGTATGTTGATCATTGCAGGAATTTTAATCGTAGAATGTTTGCAGTTTTAATATATGACTGAACTGTTGAAAATCGCCAAACAGCTGAAGGGATGATGTAAATCCAGCTAGGGCCCACACAGGTAGGAAAAGTAATGTAAGTCCCTATGGTCACTAGCATGGTGATCTACCTTCAGTTGATGGCGATCTATAGCCCGATTTTATATCGTGTTGTTTTGAAATGATTTAGCATTTTACACTGAACATCAAACTAGTTTTAATTAATTTGTGATAATCTAGTCGTTATACTGTCCTTCGCTGACAGGTTTTTGAAAATGTATAAATATATTTAATCTTAGTACATAACTATTTGTTGTCACGATATGGCTGAAATATTGCCGGTGTGACGTTAAATTTTAACTCACTCTTTGTTTTGAGTACATATGGTGGAGGATGTGATAAGGGGAGTCTGGAGGAAGTGTGACTAAGTGTGACAGTGAAAGGAAAGACATAAGGTTATATATCCTCGGAGCCAAAAGCCATCAGGAATCACTATTTCGAGGTTGCTTTTGTCTGTCTCAGGGGTGAAACAGTGATCGAACAGATTGATTACACAGGTAACAAGATCGGAAAACTACCACTGGACCCAATCGTCAGCGACGTACGTGTCACTGCCATGCTTACATTGGATAAGACACTCAGAGTTCTCTATTACAATAATGTATATGAGATATGGCAGAAGAGGCTGGATGTAGATGAGGATCCCGAATATATGGACACTGCAGAATGGTTCAACCCTACATCGATGGTGATGTAGGCTCTTGGGATACTCTACAGGTAATACTGTGGCCTGGAGAGGACTGTTTCCGGATAACGTTTGATCTGGGACCATAGGGAGAGACTGGTTCAAAACACATGTGCATCTTTAACTAACGGTAAAGACAATGACACAGTTCTGTATACATAATTGGAACAAAACCAGTTTTTGTAGGTTCTCCAGTTGATGATGGTCAGTAGTAACGATACTGGACATCACAAATTCAAAGATACTGATCTCTGTGTACAGGGATTTGATGCATAACAATATGTGCAAGTAACGAGTTTTAAAAAGTTTCTTAACTTCTATAAGAAAATATGATTGAGATTATATTCAGTTGGATACAGAAGGTAAACGTCATTAAAGCCACTGTTTGCAACACAAATATTTCACATCAATACCTTTGAGGATAAACATGCTGTTTGGTCTGAAACCAAATATTATGTTGATGTGATTATATCATTTACTTTTATTCACATTATGTTACATTACGCTTTGATATTGTGGGTTAGCCTTGGTGCTAGCTCACCATGCCTCGGTCCTGGGTTCAATTCCAACCCATGGGTCCACAGTGTGAAGGTCAGTGTGAAGGTCATTTGTGGTGTCCCTCTCCATGATATTGCTTCAGTATTGCTGAGAGCGGCCTACGTATTATCTATCTTCCTGATGATACCTTCCATCAAATATATTCGGATTTACTGCAGTTACGTTTTACATTTTCTTTGAACACATTCGACGGCATTAATAACTATCAATCTCCAAGGCGAGTTTGTCGAAAACAAATACAAGTTTTATCAGGGTGATCTTATTCTTATGTAAATTTGATTGATTTTGCTGATCACACACTTGTGATCTACCTGATTTCCCTCATTGTTTGTGCAATACTATGAACTAGGGATGCAGCGTCATTGTGCTATTGTCATGAAGTCTGTTAGACGTCAGCAGAAAATACAGATCAACGATTTCCAGAGCTTTCGAGGACCCTAACTTCGATTTTTTGTGATCTATATATTTTGCAAAACAGATTGAAATGCATGAACAGTTGTAAAGGGGTATTTGCAAAGAGTATTGTTGAATTCGTTCAAGAACTTGTTGTAATGACCTCTTTACAATCCAACCCTTTATATAGACTTTATTTTCAGTTCTACCATTGAACATGAAATACATATACCATTCAAAACAAGTAGGGGATATTGGATTTACAAGATTGATAAAATGCAAATGATGAAGCCGATGAAGTAACAGATGATGAAGAAACATTAAGGGAAAATGTGACAATTAATTCCATTTCCTTTGGAAATATTTCATCTGTATGGATATATTACTTTTTCTCAAATGCATTGGCATTGGCTAGTGGTATTCTCGCAAAATGGAATATCCCCTACTTCTTTTGAATGGTATATGTAGATAATCTCTGAGGTTAATATGAACCAAATGTTAATTTAGCTCAAAACCACTGATGATAGTGCTCATCCAAGCCATGATCCAGGTTCATGTTTTCGTGTGCATTAACATAAATACCTTGACCTTGGTCACACTTCGTTTGTTCATAAAGACAGATGGGACTCTATATTCCCTTTTGTAAGTTTTTATTTCTACGAGACGGGACTAATCCAGACACATAGAAACAATTACATGAAATGTTAATACACATAATTCCAATAAATGATGTTTCGTACAGTAATTTATAACCTATTGTACCCACTGGGGAAATGGAACCTGGGTCTTCAGCGTGAATGCTTTGACCACTACGCATCCCAACCGCGCCCTCTCCCAGAGACCAACATGGTCATCTGCCATGGTATTGGTAAAGATGACATTTAACTCTGTGATGGACGGAGTGATTTTTATGCATCGGAATGAATAAATGAATGAAGAATTATTGCTTCAGCAATATTATAGCTTTTCGCAGAAGAGTTTGTTAATAAAAGTTAAAATATGTGCTTTTTAAAAATATTAAAAAGTTGTTAAAAACTGTCGCATATCACAAAAATAAGGAGAAAAATCACAGACGTCGATTAAAACTATCCCTTGCCATAAAAAGGGTTTTCGAATTAAAATATGCACTAAAACTGTATCTACACAGCCTTATAAAATGAGTGTCACGGCTACCCGGCATTGGCAAGGAATGCATAAAGGAACATCTTCCGTTTATCAAGAAAAGCATGGGTCACGTGGGAATGCCCTATTAACATTACGTAACCAACGTAACACAACATCATCTCAATGGCACGGGATACTGATATTGGTATTATTGATTACTAGCTGAATATTATGCAGCTTGTTTGTTGTCTGTTCATCCCAATGAAGCAGTGAAGTGTGAGTGACACTACTAGCATTAGACACGTCAGAAGAAAGGCAACTCGTGACTTTGTATTTGTTCGTGTTTAGTATATACACTAATCAGCCTCAGATCCTCAAAGTTGAACCAGTAATACTTGACACAAAGCTGCATTCTCAGTTAGTAAACAGGACCTATGTACCAATGCCTATGTGCACAAAAGCTGTCAGGACTTTGATGGGTCAGCTGTAACGAAGACGAAATTGTCTTTAAATGTGGGTATAAATAATTCCAGTTCCCTCACAATACACTTATTTGCCTTAACGGGTTTCGTGCACAAACTGTATGAGAATGACGGGAGTGTTTTTTCTGTCGACCACTGGAAATAAAATCAATCATAGGACGCGGGACATCAGACAGTGAACGATAATTTACGTTACATGTGCCTGATGGTTATTAGTGTTTACACCTTAGGGGGTTTGAAACTTAAGAGAATACTCTGTTGGTAACACTTTCTGCCAGAGTTTCCTTCCAGACATGTTGTTTCCATCCCTTTTATATCTATTAAGCTTGCATATGTCACACGTGTTGCTCTCAAAGATGAAGTGGGTACACGATGACGACTCTCTGCAGGCGATAGCGCAAGAGACGTCTGATTTAGCAGGGAAAGACTCTTTGATGTGCAAAACGATTGCCTGTGGAGCGTATCGGAAGAGGCCATATTTCCTTTCCGCTGAAATGCAATATTATTTTATTTTGTTATCATCAGTGACTAAATGTATCAAACAACATTCAGGAAAGCAAAGACATTGTTATAGCTCACTATTATGTACATTTGATAGTCACGAACTGAGTGATAAGTCACTTTATAGGTAAAAAAGTATACGTGGATTTCTTTCAGAGATTTCAGGCTCCCCGTGTTTGCAAGGAAAAGTGATTAAATTTAACTTCACAGTGAGGTCATCTGCAAGCAACAGAGTGAATTTTATCTAACAGTTACAACTATCTTGGCGCTGTGTTCTTGGGGTCATGTGCGTTTGTGTCATTGGCGCCACGTTGTTAGTGAGGTCTATCTATCAGGTGTGTTTTCCCCGTAAGGTGAGATAATATACCCAAAGGAGAAAGTATTAACGTCTCCTCGAGAGGACATTATAAATATTTCTTCGGGCTCAGGGAACATAAGCAAACATAGAGAGTACATCAACTCATGTCCCCCTCGTGACCAGTGAACAACATATTTATCTTACCGAACACCTCAATATTAATTTTGAACTGTTTAAGCACAGGTAGGGGAAGGGAAATGTACAAAGACTATCGTAGACAGGATAGAAATAGGCCATCGTTTCAAGAAGGACTTCTAGTAATGAGTCAGGGAGAACATGTAACATTATGTCAGGGATGAAAGGGTCGTTGTGTCAAGGAGGTTATGGGACACCTTGTGTCAAGGAGGTTATGGGACACCTTGTGCCAGGTAGGTTACATGACATTACTGAAGACATGTTTCAATGCATCTACTGTCAGCATTTCTAAGAATATAACATTGAGAATAACTTACGGACACAGTGAGGCACATTGACACTATACCGCGAAAGAAACGTTCCCTCAATGGTACAGCCCACCCATCCTTTGCTGCCCATGTTCATATAGCCTGGCTCGCATATGAAGGACATGGTGTCCATCCAGTGGGGTGTCTGGATGGAAGCTACTGCATGAGAGTAGAGAAGATTCGGATCGCCACAGGTTATATCTGTAAATGTTAACAGAATTCGGCTAACGAAATGTCATTCAGGTGCGAGTGTTTATGTGTGAGGTGGCTGTGGTTGGTAAGGGGATGTGGATGTGACCGTTGGTTAGCAGGTTAATTTCAGTATGATGTATGATTGTGGATGTGAATAAGGGTGTAGGGATCGATAAGACTTAGTTTGAGGGTTTGGATGTGACTATGGGTATAGGTGTGCGTGTTTGTGTGAGTATGGGTGCGGGAGAGGACTTTGGCTTTGGTGAGCGTTTGACTAACTGTGTCAGCATTGGTGTGGGAGCTTGGTTTGGATGTTGGTGTGGGTATGAAATCAACTATGAGTCTGGATGTGAGTATGAGTATGTGTGTAGGATAGTGTGATGATGTGGGTTAGCATTGATTGAGTGAGTGAGTTTAGTTTTACGCCTCACTCAGCATGTATATGACAGCGGTATGTAAATAATCGAGTCTGGACAAGACAATCCAGTGATCAACAGCATGAGCATTGATCTTCGCAATTGGGATACGATAAAATGTGTCAACCATGTCAGCGAGCCTGACCACCCGATCCCGTTAGTCGCCTCTTGTGATAAGCATGGGTTACAGAAGATCATCCTGGATCTAACCTGGGTCTTCACGGGTTGGCATTGATAGAGTTAATGTTTGAGACACTATATAACATTTCGCTCTTCTGGTTGAGAAAACGTTTTGGGGGACTGTCATTTCATTTGATTCTCGAAAACCAATGAAACAATGTCCTCTTTCCACAAACAGTCAATAAACGAACAAGGCCAATCTTCGCCATGCAGATTTACTAGGGATATAATTTACATAAAATAATATTCACCTGTAATGTATGTTGTGATATCTCGGTTAACGTCAGTCCGATCAATGCAATATGGTAAAAAAAGATATATATTGCAAAAAAAACAACATAGAAACGTGATTGCTTTTGTCTGTCTGTTTTGTAAGGGAAACCAAGGCTACTTACTGGTTCTGAGGGAGCAGGTGTAAGGGCAGACAATTTCCCTGATGTTGGCGTCCGTTTCACATCGTCCTTTCATGGCATACCAACCACATTGGCAGTCCGACTCTCCAGATTCTCCTTCAACAAGAATTGGTTTGCATACTAAACATAATATATGCTGATTGCATTGTGTTACTCTATCCAGATCTCCTTTGAAGAGGTCGTATTCGCTGGCATTGCTATTTCTAAAAGGGGAAAAGTGCCTTTAGTTGATGATGAACCTGGCCAGTCTGACTTTGCCAGGATCACCTGAACCCAATTCATGATATGTATCATGATAGAAAATAGTAGCGACAAAGCTATTTCCAACAGGCATCTCCGCTAAAGGCAGTCAGCGGTATGACTCCCACAATAACATCAGCATGTGTCTATCATCACTGTCCAATCGTGAGTGAGTGAGTTTAGTTAGTAAAAAATGTTCAAACTGGTCCAAGTGCTTAAAAGCAGCTCTTAAGTGCACTGCACTTTTCTGATTCCGTCAAACTAGATACAATTACACACCATTGAGTAACCTTCCACGGATTGATGAGTGAGTGAGTTTAGTTTTAGTAATATTCCAGTTATATGGCGGTGGTCTGTAAAGTATTGAGTCTGGACCAGACAATCCATTCGTCAACAGCATGAGGATCGATCTACGCAATTGGGATACATGTGTCAGCCAAGTCAGCGAGGCTGACTACCAGATCCCTTTAGTCGCCTCTTACGACAAGCATGGGCTTCTGTAGATCAATTCCCACCTGGGTGTTCATGGGTCCACAGAATCAAACTTACTAATTGAAACTGAATTGTCAGTTCACGACGACCTCAGTGGAAGTGACCTTTTTTTGCTATAACCTGTTACCCCATCTGATGTTTCTCCATTTTAGAAAGGTGTTCAGTATTTTTATGGCATTTGGACGATGAGGAAATTTTCGTCTTCATTGCGTGATGTTATTATTCTCCCAATACTTACACCTGGACCTGATATGGTTCTTCGAATTATCGACCAATTTCACTAACCAGCTGTGTTTGCAAAAGCCTGGAAAGCATGATCAACGAACGGTTAGTTTGGTACTTAGAAACCAACAGTATACTTACTGATAAAAAATATGGTTTCCGCAAAAACAAATGTACCATTGATCATTTAGTGCCTTTAGAATCATTTGTTAAAAGCGTTATAATTAAATATACAACATGCAGTGTCTATCTTTTTCGATCTAGAAAAGAACATACGATGGAAATAAAGGGATTATAAAAGATTTTTAACTTTTCAAACATCCGAGTGGGTTCTACCCTGTCTGATCATTTTCTTCAAGATCAGGGTTTCCCTAAACATTCTGTGTTTTGTCTGTAACATTATTTAGTATAAAGATTAATAATTTGTCAAAAGTTTTAAACAATTCAAATGATGGATGATTTTAATATTTCCTGTCATGGCAAAACCATGCACACTGTTGAAAGGCAATTGTAAATTGTGTTTAAATAACATTAATAAATGGTGTTTAGAAAACGGATTCAAATTTTAAAAATCAAAACCAAATAGTATCCACTTTTGTCGAAAACATAAACCACGGTACACCTATTAAATTTGTGAAAGAAGCCAAGTTCCAGGGTCCGATTTTCGATCAACATTTGACCTTTCCCGAAGTGGGGAGGGGACCAGGAGACTCGCTTTCAATTGTACATAGCACTGATCTATTCAAAACTCGATTATAGCTCAACCATCTATGGTAGAGCCTGCAAAATCTTCTTGATTCTATCCACCATTTGATCTAAGACTTTGTCACTCGTTCCACATATTTTGACGTATATCTACGCACACTCACTCATTATAGCCAGTGACCGAGGGGTTGACCGAGGGTTGATGTAATCCAGCAAGGGTCCATGGATATACGTTTAGTTTCGTGTGACCAACAGCCCGGATTTTTTCATATTGTACATTCCCGTATTGTAGTACAAGTCATGTTTATCTGCTTACGTCCTAGTCCGTCATAACCTGGTTCTTTTAGTGTACTTTGTAGACAAATTTACGTAACTTTATTCATTATAAAGTAGATATTGTTTAAGAGTCGGTGTGACTCTAAATATTAACTCACTCACTCCCTTTGTAGATGAATGTATTTCTGTACGTATGTAATGCCAGGAATGAATGAATATTAAAGATTACAAAAGAAATATATTTCATATTTAAATAGTCATGTTATGGAAAGGAAATAATGCTCTAGAACTATACGTATCTACGTTATTGGTAACCTCAAAACTCTAAAACGTGTCTTGATTATAAATTAGAGGAAAGTGTCGTAACCTACTGTGACAGAGGGCTGGCGTATCACACGACCGGCCACATCTCGTCCAGTCCACATGGGGGTAGAACAGACAGTTCGTGAACCAACCTGCTGGACACGACTTGTGACTGTTCAGACAGGACACTGGAAAAAGAAGTGATAAACTGAAAGCGCTCGCACATGATCGAAGCTGTCACCTTGGGTTTTCTTGTTCTTTGTCTTGAAAGTTCCATGACGTTCACTTATCTTTCATCAATTCACTTTCAAAAATTGCAATCAATATTGACACACGTCACTACATGAAATATATAACTCCATTCATCTGTAAACAACTTCGGGGAACACCTGCTGGATGTAGAGATGTTTAATCCATTGCGTACTTTGCTATTTCATTGTGATGTGACTGCAGTTTGTGTGTTTGGCCTTTGTTTGGATCTGTATCCGGACCCGACATGAGATATGCAGATCTTACAAAGAATGTTTGTACTTGCCTACCTGAACAGTTTGGTAATGTAATTTCATCCCGGGTGCCGTCATGTTTGCATTCTGAGTTTCCCCAGGTGTCTTGTCCATTGCATCCTAGGCAGGAGAAATACACTGACTTCTTGTACTTCAAACTTCCCCACATCTTGTACCCAGCTGGCACATCCAACGGACACTCAAACGATGTGTCATTGACTGAACAGATATGAAAATTGATGTATCAAAACGCAATGTGTAACAGTATTATAAAGCCTCTAAATTAAGTTGAACCAAACACGTTATAAAAATATTAAACGTAAAGCAGTGTCCTCAAATGGGTATGAAAGTGATATACAAAGAGATGTTAAAAGCTGTTTATCGTTACCCAGCCAGCAGGATTATCTGGCCGTCCCTGAAACGTTTTGACAAGCTAGGTGGCTCCATTAACGACTAATATTCAGATCTTTCGTGAATCATATTTAAACAAAATATGTTAGCAAATTGGTGGACATTTCCAGGACATTGTGCGAGACAATATCAATTCATTTATTCTAAACTTATTCAGGTTATATTTCACATTGGTATCCAGATGTGATCATAAAACAAACTTACCGGAACCCTTCTTGTTATTTTACAGTAACCAGTATGAATTATCAATCGAAACGATTCTATTCAGATCGTAAATAAAACGTCAGAAGAGAGAATAAAATTAATTGAATGGATCTTGCAATATAGTGTATTTTACAGTTAGAATATTCCTTTGTAGCGATCTACATAATATTTTCATTTTATTACACAGAAAAAAGAAGGTGAAAATGTTTGTGGTTTATAAACATTTTTTTCAAGAATATAGGATTTTTTCCTGATCTATATTTATTTGGTATCATGGAATTAAGTAATTTTGCATAATCTTCCAAAAAAACTTCACAAAATCAAATAATGTAATGAAGATGTTCGCTACAAAGAAAGTCATGCGACACAATGTAGCACCTTCTCCTAAACATCTGCCTCCATTTTGCTATAGGGGTAGTACCAAATAATGACCCCCTCACTTTTTACCCACCCCTTAATTATGGATTACATAGTACCTTGAAAAGTTCAGTAGGCATTCCTGGATCAAACTGTACAGTCAGATCTTTTATGTAGTAAGTGTTGAGGAAACTCTTTTTCAGAGCCCCCTACAGGACTTAACCTCTAGACTATAAAAGTCAGTGATGACAACAGTTGTCAATAGAAAGTGTTAGAAGGTCCTGTCGTACCATGGGAAGTGTTAGAAAGTCCTGTCGTACCATGGGAATTATCAGAAGGCCCTGTCGTACCATGGGAAGTGTTAGAAGGTCCACCTGTCGTACCATGGGAAGTGTTAGAAGGTCCTGTCGTACCGCGAAATGAGTAACCATGTCAACAGAGTGAACAGTCAGAGTTTTGGTTGACCAAATCAGATACAACGTTTTGCCAACTAGAAAGGGTCACCATAAGATTCTGAAATAACAGGACAGTAAGTAAATGTATGAACTTTACCTGTGTTGTTGTGTGCATCGGCTTGAGTCGAGATACACTGCAGCAGAAAAACTGAAAGAACACCGCACACAGCCGACAGGGATCCCATCATCCAGACCTTTGAGTTACATTCTCAACCACTTGCTTCATGCTATTGGCGTTAATAATTCAGAGCTTACGGTGTTGTTTTGTGTTGAAACGATGTTCTTTACGATGTATTGATTATTTTATGAAACAGGTTTCAGTTGTCAAGACATTAGCTCCACGCTTTGGTTGTGTCACCAAATGTATCGCTGGAGTCTATTGTCACATTACACATAATTATGATAAACATGTTTTGTCGATTATCCCAAAGGTGTGTGTGAACAAGTCAGGAACTGAATGAAGTCAGTGCCACAGAGCAATCACAAACACTGAACATTCAGACAACCTGTGAGTCAGTATCATTTGGGTGGTTGATTAGTTTGTTATTCCAGCTATATGAAGAATTGGTCTTCAGTAACCCAAGCTTGTCGTAAGAGGCGACTAATGGAATCGGGTGGTAAGGCTTGCTCACTTGGTTGACACATGTCATCGTGTCCCAGCTACGTACAAGGATGTTCATGCACTTGATCACTGGATTGTATGGTCCAGATTCGGTTATTTACAGACCGCCTCCGGTAACAACCGAATCCAACCAAACCAACTAATGTTACAGAACTTTTCCAAACCTGTGTGCTGGAAGTAGGTGTCTTGCTCTGAGTGTGTGCAAAGCAAAAATTCCAGAATCGTCTGTACCCGAACGATACTAGAATGTCGTAAGAGGCAACTAAAGGGATCGGGTGGTCAGGCTCGCCGACTTGGTTGACGCATGTCATCGTATCCAAATTGCGTTGCTATTGATCACTGGATTGTCTGGTCCAGACTGTATCATTTACAGACTACCGCCATAGAGCTGGAGTATTGTTGAGTTATGTATTGAGTATTGAGGAAGTTATGTTGTTCTATACAATCTTGCTGGAAGACAGCAATTTCCTATTCGATCCGGGCAGTTGCAGCAACCTGTATACTTGGATGGACAGACGCTGTACTCCCGAGTTTGTATCGTCCCTGCCGACACCAGACTCCAGAATACCAATCAAAGCAGGCAGTGGCTGGGTCACGCTGCAGTGGATAGTAAAGCATCGTTCAGGACTGATAGAGAGGAGAATGGCTACGACTGCGCGGGGACGATAGTCGAGTACGTCGTATCTGAGCTACTACCCTACAACTTTGGATACTTCAACACCAAATCTGTGTCCTGGAACACAGACATGTGAGTGGAAAACACATTATCTTGTTGGTTTTTCATAATCTTTGTTTCCGTTTTTTTTTTCTTTTTAGTACATATACATTGCACAATTTTTGTTTTTGTGTGGATATCACAATAGTGATTGAGTGAACGTTGCTTTACGCATCATCAGCAATTTTGCAGATATTGGGGGCAACAATATATTGGTGACAATATCACGTAAACTAATATGTAACTAATATTAACTTGCAAATGTTTTTTATTTCATTTTGTCCGTTTTAACTTTGTGTTATTTTTGTTTTTGTTTTTGTTTTGTTTTAATCTCCATACATCCAGGTCATACAGTTCATTATATAACGGGTTGGGATAAATATATACAAATATATACAAAGTCGATTTACAGGCACATGTGCATTCAGGTGGAAATGAATAGGTACTTGAAAATATAATAGCAGTACATTATATATAGCGCTAGATTAACAGAACAGATTGTGACATAATAACCAAAATTTTGTGAAGCTGTCATATTTGCAATTTGAGTAGGTATTAAAACGTTCAGCATAATATGTTGTCTTTACGTCTTCTGTGATGTAGTTCAAATTTGGTGTATTATCTTTTTGTTTCATTTTGTATAGATTATATTTCACTACTGTTATTATCAAATTCAGAACATGGTTTCTCTTTTCACAATATCCTAGAATAATATGTTTCTTTGAAAAAATAATATTTGACCCTGTGTTTTTTAATATCCATTTTTCTATTTTCTTCCAAATAGTTTTTATGACTTTACAGTCACAAAATAGATGTAAAGTTGTTGGCAGAAACCTATGCTGTATTGAAACCAAGAGTGTTTTACACTATTATACGATTTAAAGGTTGTTTTTTTCTATCGTTTTCTTTATGTTATCGTCAATAAACTCATTTAGTTCTTTTTGCCACTTGTTTCGGTATGTTAAAGGTTTTCTAGATCTCTTTGGGTTTCCAAAAAGATAGGGCAAAATCGGAGCTTGGATTTTCTCTTGAATATGGACGTTTATGGATTTGCAGTAGTATTTAATTGATTCTACTATTCCTTAACGATCTAGGAAGTTAGTTTTGCTCCCAAACGATTTTTTTAATTGTTCCACCGTTAAAAAGTTACCTTGGGCATCAAACATGTCGTTTATATAAGTAATCCCTTTGCTTGAATAATGTTTATAATTGATTGGTTTTCCATCTATCTTAATATTGTCATTTAACCATAAGGGTTGGGATAAGATATCAGATGCATTTTTTGGCATTTTCTGCTTTTCTGGTTACGAATTTACCCCATGATTTCAAAGTGTCCCAAACTGATTTGTTTCTTGTGTTATTACTGATTCAAGTATGTATGTTTCGCATGTTTGTATAAAGCTGTCGATGTTGCAATGTGTCTTTGTTTGTAGCAATTTCCTTACTTTTGAATCTGAGTTGGTGAGTCCTTTAATCCATGATATTTTTTGTGATTGAATAAGATTTATTATCTCTGGGCTCGTATTCCTCCGTATTCACAATTCTTTGTAATAGTTTCTCGACTGACTTTGTCTGGTTTGTTTTTCCATATAAATTTATAGCAGAGCTTCCAATTCCTTAATCATTTGGGTTGGGTAGAGTTACAAATACATGATTAAGTTGCGGTAAAAGTAAACTTTTCAATATGTTATTTCTACCTATGGGAGTTAGATCTCTTGCTAACCATTGATTCATTGATATTTTGAGAGTCTAAAGTTTATCTCTATAGTTGCGTTCAACCATTTCTGCGATGTTGTGAGCAAATACAATTCCTAATAGTGTAAACGAGTCATTCTTCCAGTCTAGATTCCAGATTCTGCAAAAAAAATGTTTGAGTTTTTTTCTGGGCCTATCCATAATACCTGTGTTCTAATGTCGCTCGAAACATTTTCCAGTGCCATCTAGTATCAATGAAGTATCAACAGCTTATTGGGAAATTAGGTATTCTGTATCTCAAATTTGTATTCCTTTTATTTTATTATTATTTCTAATCAGTGTTGCCCAAATTTCTGCGCACAGTATAAAAATATAATGAGTGAGTGACTTACAATTTAAGGTCACCCCGGCACTATTTCAGCCATATAGTGACGAGAAATGTTGTACGTACACAATAAATACAAGTAATGAAATACCCAGTCATCGACGGACTGTAAAATAACTAGAGTATCACAAAAAGAGTTAAAACTAGCTAGTATTATTTCTAAAAGTAAGAAACTATTTGAGACAATACAATGTAAAAATGGGCTAGTGATCGCCAACAACTGAAGGTAGATCACCACACTAGGGACCATGGGGACTTACAGTGCTTTTGCTACCTGCATGGGACACTAGTTGGATTTACACCATCCCTTCAGCCGCTGGCGAATGTAGGAACATTAGGCCGACAGTTAAAATAACAAAAAACCTACGTTTTAAAAATCTGATAAGTCTATATTTAACTTTTAAGGTTTGGGGACTTACGCACCCTCTCAGGAGGACAATAATTTTACAATACTTCAACCCCCTTCGAGGGTACAGCCTCTAACAATCTAAGTTATCAATCTAAACTATCAATCATAAAAGACATCTATTTAAACAAACTCTTAATCAAAGTTCATTAATTAAATCAATTTCTTTAAAAAAAACAATAATTAAATTAAAACTTACAGTGGTAAAAAGATCCTTAACTGTTTTCACATTGAAATATTTATCCCTTATGATGGAGAATTCAACACAGTCAAGCAGGACATGATTGACCGTGGTTCTTTCATTCACAAGGGATACAAAACGGAGGATCCTCACCTTTCAATAGGTATGCACAAGTATATCTTGTGTGGCCAATACGACATCGTCGTATGATGACCTCTTCAAATGTGGACTGGCAACCCAAGTAAGTGTAACCGATATAGGGTTTCATTTCATATAATTTATTTATACCTACTTGGGTGTCCCACTTCGTCTGCATCAGATCACGGATGTAGGCTCTAATGCTAGCTTAAATTTGTAATCAGAGTATGGGATAAGAAGTGGTGTCACAGATTTGTTGAGTGCTGCCTTAGCAGCAAGACCAGCCATTGCGTTCCCAGAAATACCAGCATGGCTGGGTAACAAACAAAAGTGAGTGAGTGAGTTTAGTTTTACGCTGAACTCAGCAATATCCCAGCTATATGGCGGCGGTCTGTAAATAATCGAGTCTGGCACCAGACAATCCAGTGATCAACAGCATGAGCATCGATCTGCGCAATTGGGAACCGATGACATGTGTCAACCAAGTCAGCGAAACTGACCACCCGATCCCGTTAGTCGCCTCTTACGACAAGCATAGTCGCCTTTTATGGCAAGCACATGGGTTGCTGAAGACCTATTCTACCCCGGATCTTGGGTAACCAACAAAAGACGATGTCGCATTGGCCAGTTGCAAGCTCATTATACAATTCAATAATTTCTAATAAAAGTGGATGTTTGCAAGAAAGATTTTTAATAGCCTGAAGGCACGAAAGAGAGTCAGAAAAGATTATTTATTGTTTACATTTTGGGTTTCTATTGATATATTTAAGAGCTGTTAATATTGCGTTTGCTTCTGCTGTAAAAATAGAGCTATTATACGGTAGTCGAGAAGATATTGTTCTGGATCCAATGACAGTGGCACAAGCTACTGCGCCACCATCCTTGGACCCATCTGTAAATAAGGATATGTAATTACTATATTTACTTTTTAATTTATTATATTCTTGTTTATATTGTAAGTCATTTGTTTCTGATTTTTTAAATGAAGTTGATGTTAGATTGACTTGTGGCCTAACCAATTGCCAAGGAGGAGAAAAAAGACGGGAAGGAGATATATTTTCAAGAGCAATGCCGGAAGCAGAAATGAATGGTTTAATT